TTTCAAAGCTTGTCCAGTTTCGCCTAAAGAATAGAAATATCCTTCCTAAAATTGTTATGCAGAGAGCATCCCCAAACTGAGAAAAAATTACCCAGCGCATCAATACGATCTAAACTACCTATAGTAGGATCAACAGCTCTCCACCATCCATCAACTGTAGAAAAAAACTATGGCTCTAGTGTCCATGCATTTTCAAATCGAAAACGATGGATACGACAGCGTTGAGAGTCTTGCTTCAACACAAGCTACAAAGGAGAGTGATCAGACGTCGAAGTTAACAAATTAATAAGAGAATAGGTCAGAAATAAATCAAGCCATGATTGTGTGAACATAGTGCGATCTAACTTCTCTTCTACTTTCCCTGCCCCCTATCACTAATCCAAGTAAAAGGGTATCCCAGGAGAGGAGATCAATAAGATTACAATCATCCACCGCTTTTTTAAAGCCCCTAAACAAAGATGGAGGATGATCCACTACCCCTTTCTTATCCTCAGCACACAACATGTTCATGAGAGACTCCATAGCAAATCCCAAACTCTCTCCTTCTACTTTTGTCTGCATACCCATAATACCCAGTCAATCTCCATGCAATGCCATCCTCCATAACTATCTTCAAATCAATAAAATGGGATGAAAAAAAAATGCAAGTTGCACTTGGTTTTTATTCTTCTAAAGAAGAGCCAAACCATCGCTTCTGCCAATGCTATCCACTGAGAACGACCCTTCAAACTTAAGACGCAGCCTTATTTCATCTATTTTATTCTTCTTAACTAAAGTTTCTATTAAAAAAACTACATTGGGCTTCTATCTTCTAACAAGCTTATTAAGAGCTAAAACTGACCAGGGATTGCCCAAGCCCCGACAATTCCAACTTAGGAGATTCACTAGGCCCGGCAGGCCTGAACCTCAGGTCCCACCGATAACATATTCAACCCTTCACTAGTTGCAACCAGAGTATCTACACCGAGCCCATCTTGCTCCACAATTAGCATTGGGTCAGCAAGCTTTTCAACCCTAGGCCTTTTTTTCCCTTTTCCCAAATCCAATGCATCAGACTCATTGTCTATAGGGTCGACATGCTGCGACATAAGCCCACTAGTAGTTGTAGTTGTTACTAACTCCACTTGATTATTGAAGTGATTGACTCCACCAGTATCATTAGAACCCTCTCAAACCAAAGCCCCTGACGACGGCGCAACAGGATCACACAGTCCACTTCCCTTATGCAACTAGCCACCCTAAGGATCCCTGAACCATTACCGATCCTCCTTCTCCATATCGGACTGCCGTAAATTCGCCCTAAGCCAGACTCCCCACCCTCGTTGAACCTCCACCTCATTCACATGAAAGAGCTGCTCGCAAAACTGTTCATTGTGTCCGAGAAGGCCACAAATGAAATAAAAAGTTGGCAATTTTTCATACCGAAAATTCACGCTTCTCAAGCTCCCAGTAAAATCTCGAATCTTTTTCCAATGTTAAGAGGTTTTCGAACATCCATGCAGACTCTTATACACATATACCTTCTCCAACCACCAGAATCATTGTTAGGATCATACGAGATAAAAGTTCCAATAAAGTTGCCAAATTGTTTTACCATAGTTTTAGACATGACCAATAGGCAGATCATGAATCTGAACCCATAGCTCCACATAAAAGAGTTGCACCTCTAAAGGATTTGTCCTTGTTGGAATCTTTTGAAGAATAAGCAAATGATTATTAAACGTCCAAGGACCCCTATTCCATACCCTATTCACATCCACCTTATGAAAAAATTGGAAGAGAGAAGATACCTTTGGTTCAATCTTCGTAATACATATCCTTCGACCTGGTCTCCTCACACTTGCCAGAGTGCTCTTCATGGCTGCATAATTAACTCTCCTATCTTTGAGCAGATGTCCAACCAGACACAGGGAGTGATTGATTGATTGGTTATTTGACGAGGTGTACCAACAAGGTCAAAGGGGACCTCTTCATCATCAGCTACCAGGAGGTTCCCCATCCCAATTCCAGATCTGCCATGATCGTGTCTTGTCATGGCTTACAATTGTAAATCACAAGACGGCTATCGAAAGGCTCTCATGCATAAAGTAAGAAAAAAAAACCCAGATATGGAACTAATTTTCTCCACTTTCCTACTTTCTCTATCTTAATTTGAAATTTTTTAATCCCATATAATGTTTATATAATTTGAGTTGGGCAAATTAGTCATCAATTACTAATTAAATCATTTAGAATTTATTCAAAAGTCTATTAAGTTATTATAATTAGTGCAAAACTTAAGCTACAACTTTATCATTTCATTCATTTATTTAGAGTTTCATCTTTCTCTCTTTGTGTTATTCTCTCTATTTTAATTTATTTTATTTTGAAACAAAAAGATAATTGTAAGAAAGTCTTAAGATTTATTTTGGAAAAAGAAAAAATATAAAATAATATAAAGTTAAAAAAAAAAGAAATAAAGATTAAATGAATTGATATTTATGTATGATATTATTTATTGAGTAAAATTGTAAACAAAAATTTAATTATACAGATTTAATTTAAAAAATCCATTTAAACACCTAATTAACAAAAAATAAGATTGAAATATTAAAATAGAAAACTAATAAAGTTCAAAACCCTATTAGTATAATTATCTCATCTTAAAAAACGATTGGAATTGACCGGTTTAAATTGTCCTATTTTGAAAGCCTTATCCGACGACATTAACGGTTCGTACTTAACAATTAGGTTGAGGTGTTTGGTAAAGATGTTAGTACCTAAAAATTAAGTTGAGGGGTTTGGTAAAGATTTTAGTTAGTAGCTAACAGGTGATATGAGTCCGATCATGTTTTAATCAGTTACATTTTGGAGTTTTTCCATATTAACCACTAATTGATTTGTATTTATATCATATTTGGACTTAATTAATTTTGTAAAAATAATTATGAATAAAATATTTTTTAAAAGATTAATATTTTTTAAAGGGAAAAAAATATTTACCTTAAAGGTTTAAAAATTATATACATTATACATAATAATATATAAAAATAATTATGCTCTTAACGGATGTCAGTGTACATTTACAATACTAGTTACTGAAACTTTACTAAACATCAATATTTATCAGATAACCCCTATCAGTCATCAACTAACAGCTATAGTCTATAAGCAATCACTATCAACTATAAGCTAGTATTAATATCTAAACCAAACGAGTCCTTGAATTCATAATATTTTGTTACTTGAAACTCCTTTCAAATTTAAACTATGATTTACATACACTTAGGCAAAATTTATATCAGAATTGTATGTGTGTGTATGTATACACACGTTTTTTGAATTGTATATATAAACACGTTTACCACATATTTCAATTTTAAAAGAAATGTAAAATTCTTTGTTGGCAACTCATGAAATGAGTGGCGAAGAGAATGAAAACTGAGTTTTAGTCGGATTTGACGAGACCTAAAGGGAAAGAAAGAAGGCTGATATGTGAAATTAAATAGACAACTATGGCAATAATGCATATGAAGAAGATGAACAAGGTCAGCTAGTATGCATTATGAACCCATAATCTCTCTAAAAACAGAGGGCTAAGAAATAAATTTTAAAAATTAAGAAGGTCAAAGTCAAAAATATTTTAATTAGTTGGACGACGGGCTCCACCCGTCCCTCAGTGTCCGTCAATTTCAAAATAAATAAGTTTATTCCACTTAATAAATTTGCATTGTTTTTCAGTAGAGTAGAACTTAAGAGAAGGAAATTAGCTCACTGTGTAGCTACCCTCATGACTTGCAAATAATTACGTATTACATAAGTTAAATAAATTACAGTATACTCACACATGATGAATTTTAAATTAGATAAATTAATTATTTTTGAAGGTAACTTGTTACTTATTAAAACATGTAATCGACAAAATATATATCGCTTTTTTAAATTATTGAATACTTCTCAACATGGTGAGTAAACTGAACTAGGTTCACCTAAATTCTCATGAAAATGCATATACTACTTACTACAAAGACATTTTTATAAAATGTAATTTGTTAACCGTACATCCATGCCAAATAGTAGAAGCTAATAATCGATTGGTTTTGCCAGTTGCTTGCTTGGATTTTGCATCCAATTCCTATTAATTGAATCTCTAAAACTTAGCTCCGACTTACATCTACAACTTAAAAATCACCAAACCAACAAATTTTCCGATTTTGTCATCACTTCAGTTTCCTAGAACAGTAAAGAATATGACACTCTAATCCTTTGTCATCAATTGCAAGAATTATCATGAAATGAGGCGTATACTGATCAATTTATTCGGTTTTACGAATTTGAATTCACAAAATTTTTAAATTTAAAATCAAACTGCAATGAAATGAATTAACCGAAATGCAATAATACAATCCTTTCTCTCCTGCTCAATTTCAGGGATGTGACATGAATAGCTATGATGCACTCAATAAATTACTTTTTTTCAGAGATTGTTTTTAAACCACCCACCATTTTCTCTGGAACTTCAATTTGGCTTTTATAGAATTTCCCTTCCTACTCCTCACCTCCAACAAGCCAAAGAAATGAGCAGCGAAGTCTGCCAAATCACCTATAGAGAGCTTTCTTTATAAGATGGCGTTAGGACCTAAATTTCATCCATCAATAGTGAGCTCTAGCAAAGTTCCGAAGATATTGAATTAAGTGTTGGCATATAATAAGTGCGGACCTGGAGGCCAATTAATAGTCATAGCATTGGAATGCTAGAAAGCTACCGAGGCTGACAAGCACTACTTGAACGACTTCTGCCCAAACTTAATAACTGAAGCCAATAATCACATGACATGACCAAAACGGAAATAGATCAGTTGCATATTTGCTGCTTTCATTATTTCTTGGATGATGCCTGTCCAAGAATTGCACAAGCCTCTCTCTCCCAAGTTTTTGAGTGGTTCAAGAGAGAGAAAACATGGAATTGGGTATTTGAACAAGAAATCAAGGGTCATATCCAAGTATAAAAGATGAGAAGGTGAATGTAAAGAACAAATCAAATAATGACATTAACATACTTGTGCTCCAATATCCCTTCCAAAGGGTCATGATGTATGAGACCAGGAATCTACAAGCCTTTTCGGCTGTTAGCATGCAACATCTAGAGTGTTATACAACAGTCAACTAGCCGTAAATATTGTCCAGTTAATATTTGATAACATGGTGGCGTAACCAGAGATCATACATGACCATATGGAACGCATCATATTTAATCGGAGGCGAATTCCATTGGAAGTGCTTTTGGACCTGATATAACATGACATGAAAAATTATCATCAGTAATGCCAAGTTGCCATATGGGATCTAAAGTTGCTTATCTGGCTAGCTATATAAGAAAAATATTTTAATTTAAAAAAAAAAAAAAAAAAAAAAAAAAAAAAAAAAAGATGCTAAAGTGCTTATCTGGCTGCTATATAGAAAATAATTTTAATTTAAAAAAAAAAAAAAAAAAAAAAAAAAAAAAAAACAAAAGGAAAAGCAAGTTACCTCGACTAAATTCCTTATGTAGTGTAACAAACTCATCAGTCGATTAAAAAAAAAAAAAAAAAAAAAAAAAAAAAAAAAAAAGGAAAAGCAAAGTTACCTTGACTAAATTCTTATGTAGTGTAACAAACTCATCATCAGATATATCCTTCAGAATTTGCTTGAGTCGGTACACATCTTGCTCCTTAAGTATGACAGCAAATTTTCGCCAATCAAGAATGTCATTGAATGGCAGGTCATAGTAGTTGGATAAGATTACTGCAAAAGAAATGACAAGACAATTCAGCAAAAATGACTTGCAATATTTTAAAATCCAAACCTGACGTTCAAACCACTACAATTCTTTTCAAATGTAAAATAATAAGACAGGTTTATGACTTAAGTATTTGACATTGCTCAGATGGTGCATGCGGATTGGCAACTCCAAATAGTATTGTACCACAGGAACAAATATGTGTTGTTAGACTGTTATTTCAGCAAATAACCACTCTCCAATTTTACATCCAGAAGGACAGATTTAAAACGGTCATTCATGCTAACTAAAGAGGTCTTAAAAAATGATATGCATAAATTTAGGGAACAATCAAACAAAAAAAGCCATAATCAGTAATATAGAAAGCCAATCATCCTGTGTCCTTTCACTCCCTCTTGTTATAGAAAGGCATTTAAGAGTTTGAATCTTGCCAACCATTTAAAAAACAAAAAAAAAAATTAAAATAAGCGTTCATGGCCCTTAAGGTATGAAGGGACTAGCCCCTATGACACTATTAAAGGCCAGGCACCATGATTGCTAATCTCCACTTAAATATCGAGAGGTGCACAGGTAAGGAATGAGAAAAAAGAAAAGGAAATATGAGTCTCAATACAGATCCATTTCAATCATTGACTCCTCCCATTTTTTGAAAGAGAGGGTCAAAGAGTAGTTAGAGATCTTTGCTAGAGATGTAAAACAATGACTTTCATCTAAGTTGTGAACCAATACAAGCTTACTAACCCTATCCTTAAATATGTGTAAGGAATAGACATAGATCGCCAGTTACAAAACTTACCAGGAACACATCCATAATGGATTGAATCAGCTATGCGAGCACTGTTGACCTGAGAACCACCAGGGCATATGCAGAATTTAGTGATGTAAAATCTCTTTTGATACAATAGATCTCCAGTAGCCCTGTTTATTCTGTTGTTCAAAACATAAAGCTCCGTGTCATTCTCCCACACTCGTGCCAAAGTAACTCTAATTTTAGAGTTTCTATGACCTGCCCAAAACCCAAGTACTTTCCTGCATAGAAATGCTTCTTGTTAAGCAAAGAAGTTAGGGAAAGACAGTATCCTGTTCAAAATAATTAAATTCACTTTCAGTATCATTCATTGACCCAGAGCAAATAAAACAGACAATCACTCATAAAAAAAGATACTTCAAAAAATATTCTCAAGAAATGAACATAGACATAACAGCAAAAATCCATGTTAAAGATACCAGCGATTGAATTCATCATCCATGAAGGGATGAAGCTGCTGTTCTTCAGTTATTTTTGGTGCAAATGCTGCTGTAACAATCTTTACCATATAGCAACCAAATATTAAGGGAAAGAGACTAAAAATTAACATAGAAATAAGGAAGTGGGGTAGGTATCCAGAGAGCCTTGACAAAATTAGTGAATGGACCCAGGTTGGCAACACAACCAGAATACAAGTGAACTAAGCTCTTAAATTGCATTGAGCATTAGAATTAGATAACATGAACTCATACTTGTCGCAAACACATCAGAGTCGGTGACAATCAGGATAACCTGACTAGCATGTTCATAAGTTCATGTTTCGTGATGTTACCTTTTCTCTAAATCGTTTCCACCAGCAGGAAGGGCAAAAGGCTGCAGTACTTGAGGAAGAGCAACATCCTTGTGTGGAATGAATCCAACATCATAGCTTGGGGAGCACACAACTCGAATTGCATTCTTTACAAGAAATGGAACTCCTTCAGTAGCCCTTACACCAACATCATGACAAGTGACAAAGAAGTGATCTGCACCCAGTGTTCTGTTCCAATAGGGATACTTAGCTATTAAACCCTCCAGATAGTTCTGAACAATTATGGTCATATTCTCATAGGATGTGCCCTGAACATAATGATGAACTCATCATATACCACTACATAAAGGATCCCAATTTTATGAAGAAGGAACTTAAAAAGCGACCAACCAATTCAATATTTTAACCAATTTTATTATGATGCCAGTTTGAATTTCAAACTGGCATCAATTTCTCAAGAAAGAAGTATCAGCAGTTAAATTATATGCAGAACAGTTCATGAAACAAAACATGATAACATCAACAAATGACTACATCATATGGAAATGAACTATTGCAGATGATTATCTGTCATGGCATAGAACTACATCCGACAAAGGTAAAAGTTAATGAAAATAGTCAGCCACAACAATCACATTAATAAGAAACAATCATTTCACATTGAATTTCAAGATCAACATTCGAATTTTCAGAATTCATGAAATTTTTTTGTGCTTTCTTTTTCATTGGATCTTTGTGAGGGAGTTTTAACTTGGATCCGTGCCAAGGTTTTAGGCCAAAGGGAAGTAGGATCTTCTATCTTTTAATCATAGGCTTTGCCATAATCATCCAGTAAAAATACTCATTAGCATTGGAACTGCATAGTCAAATTTATATAAAAGAAATCAACAATTTGCTTGAATAGCATCATATTATTTACAAATAAGAAGATACATTCTGATTAGTCTAGAATACAAACGAAAGTAAATTAATAATCAGTTAAGTAGCATTGATTATCATTTGAATTAGAGTTACATAACAAACGAACTCTCCACATGAACACCTTGATTAACTTTCACACCTAAGTAAGCAAGTTATGTACATTAAGTCGTAATTATTCAGTGCATTCTACCGAAGAAAAAGCGAAAAATAATAAGTAATTATTAATACATCAAGTGTAAGTAAGGAAACCTTTACCTTGCCTCGCATCTTGTGGCAGGAGATCGGAATAAAGAAAAGGTGTGCCTGATCTGGATCCTCAGTTCGAAAGCGACTTTCTCTGATATTCTGGAAAAAATAGCCTTCGCTAGCGTATTTTCCAGTCAATTTCCTCGGTGTTTGATAGTAGGTGTTGGGATCTCCATCCGGATATATATAAACCTTGAAGTTCCTCTCCATTTCCTCATAATTCAACTTGAAAATCTTCGGCGAGTGGTATAGATCCGGCATTTCATCGTCAAACGGTTCCTCTTTCCCTTTCGTGCCATCGTCGGATGATTCCTCTTTCCCTTTCGTGTCATTGTCAAATGGTTCTTCTTGATCTTTTATCTGTATCAGTGGCTGGTCTACGACGGGGCTGGAGACCACAGGAGGAGAAAAGGAAGAGATGGACGAAGAAGATTGAAAGGAGTTAAAGGTAAGGTAAGTGAAGGAAATTAGGGTTAGGATTGCAAGAGTAAGGAGAGAGCCTTGTAGAGAACACATGTATGACCATGCTTGTTGATGAAGCTTTCCGGCCATTATCGCCGGGATATTTGGAAGTAGATTACCGGATATACTGATGATAAAGAGTAATCAGCGTCCGTCCGAAATGGTGGTGGTGGTGAAGAGTTAGGATTGGAAAGAGAGCTGAGGAAGTTCAGTTTTTACTCTTTAGCATCAGATTTAACGATTCTCAGCTTAGTAGTATCTGTTAATCTGGAAATGGGTTTCAGTATACTATTGCTAGCTTTCATGGTTACTTTGGGCCGTGGTTGTCACCGGTGAACATTAACAGTTGCCTCCTGAATTTTAATTTGTAATATTTTTAATCCAACATTTGCTTTTTGGGTCCCTAATTTTGATCCAAAACTCTTATTTTAAAAAAATCATTAATTCATCCATAAAATTTAACAATTTCACCAAAGACATTTTTCGGTTAAGTGAGAAATTAAGTAGCAATTCAGTAATAAATACAACTCCATCAAATAATATAATATCACGTGAAATAATCAAATATTATAAATATTTAATGACAAATAAAACATTTAATGATAAAAAGTTTAACTTGTTAAATTTGACAAATCAATTAATACAACGTGATAATAATTTTAATCGAAACTCCCTTAACTTTGTATAACAGAGTTCATATTACATTTGTAAAATTTAATTACGAAAAAATAATGTAAGTGAAACATAAAAATTTAAAAAAAAAAAATCATAATATGGTTATTTTACAAATTTCTTTCTATTTTAAATTTATAATTTATTTAAAAAATAAAATTTTATTTTCATGCGTCATTCTTCAGTAATGGTTGGCAATTTCGTTTAAAATCCGAAACCTAAATTAGGTTCAATTTAATTTTAAAATGACCAGTTTAGCCTAAATTTTCAATATAAAAAATTGAAATTTTTTATCCATCAAAATTTGGCAAGATGATGAGCAGTTCTGAGTCTGAAATTTAACCCCAACACAGGTTTCCGAAACTCGCCCGAGTCAAGCAACTAAAACTCGTCTACTTGTGTAAACGATATAGCAATTTTGGCTCAGCAAAACAAATGAATCATTAAGGAATTCTCTGGTTTTTAGGCTGTAACATATACAAGAAAATGCCACCAGCAACAGCAACATTGAGAGACTCGTAGTTTCTTGCCATGGGTATGCTTATAAGCTGACATTCTCGCATGGATTTCTCCGAAAGGCCATGCCCTTCACTGCCCAAAACCAAGCATAATGGAGTATCAGCTAAAGAATCTGCAAGCCCTTGTGACAACTCTGCTACTGGTTTCAGTTCATCATCACTTGCTGGCTGGCCAGCAAGCATTTTCATTTGGAATTCATCTTTCAGTGCTTCAAGATGACGCCAACTACCTGAAACTATAGGTACCTGAAAAGAGGCTCCTCGACTAGCTTTGAGTGCTTTGTCATTGAATGGATCGCAACAGCCAGGAAGTATAAAAATCCCACCCTGTTAGCCATCAGCCACAGTATTAGATCTTCTGTTTCAAGTTAAAAAATTAGCAAAAAGCAACTTAATTAGACTCTAAACCTAAGGAGTGCATTTATTGTAATAAACATCAGATTCAGAAAAGGAAATTAGATGGAGGGCATCACTGAACCTGATGCTCATTATACGGATGCAAGAAAAAGATTGATAGGTTGCAATAACGGCAGCCATTGCCTTCTTGATGTTGATAGGTAAATGTGGCAAGTAGAGTTTAATGAAAACAATTATGTAAATAATTTTCAGATAGTCCAAACCGTTTGCATCTGTATCAGATTGAAATGGTATGGAAGGTTGAGCATATTGAAGTTGTTGGAGGCAGACCTGGATACTGTTAGGTTAAGTAATAAAAAATGCTTATTAACCAGACATTTATGTTGTTGTAGCTTTAAAACAGTAGAATGGACAAATTGATCCATAAAGCCAACCCAACTAAATTGGGATTAATGCTCAATTGAACAGAGGATCAAACTATCAGGTTGATCAACATGAATGCATGCTGTAACATTTGTTGAAAATGTTAATCCAGCTGGATCATCATTGGTGCAAAAGGGATACATGATTTTGTAAACTGCAAAGAAAAAGAAACTGGAGTAAGCAGGTTCTTGCTTACCCATCTAAATGCCACAGCTGATCTGATTAATGTACCAAGGTTACCTGGATCCTGCAGTGAACAAAACTTGTAAGTTAGTGATATATTGTCTAGGTAATTCCTCAAAATAAAGCCTGCAGTCAAAATTTAAAAAAAAAAAAAAAATCCCTACAACTAAATAGCATTTTGTGACTCGATCATCACATAAAGAAAATTTATGAAGCGAGTATGAGAAAGTAATTATGCAAGGAGATTCAACTGATTACAGTTTATCTGCATAACAAGTAGTTCCAGTCAACAAAGTTTCATGCTTTATATACACCAGGGCTTATGTATAAAATGGGTTGATGGGTTTGTTTTTCTGTGAAACGACAAAGGCACTTTAGGAAATTGAGTTTTCAACCTTTGCAGTCAAATAGGAAGAACGCAGAAGGAAAAGTGCCCTCCACTTCTGGCTCCTTTCCCTTTAGTAGGATTTTGCTATATAGACTTTGGATACAGACCCACCCCAATATTTTGGAAAAGAAGTAACTGCAGATTCTAAATGCTCTCCATGGCAGAAAGCCCAAGGCTTTGACCAAAATATCAAGCAATGCCCCCTATAACTTCACTGTTAAATTGCCAACTAATATGTTGCATTCATATACCCAGGCCCAACATGTTTTATCTTCAATTTATTCTTCCTTCTATTCTAGGACCATAACTAGTGGAAGAAGAAAAGAAACATTATATCAGCCAAACAACGCTGTTCTAGATGAGTTAGGATAACCTGAATCCCCTCAAGAACTAGAATTCGATGTGGAGTTGGGAACCATTTCCAACAATCTGCATTGTTTTCATGATCATCTACAACAAAGTAGCTGGTGGGGAACTTCATCAAGGCAATTGCTTCAATAGATTCTGTAGATTGCAACTGTGAAAGCTTTTTCATCACCAAGGCACTCACACGCAGAGTACGACTGGACGAACTGTCAAGTCCTTCAGGAACCTTAGCTTTATCAAGAAGAATTAGACACTCTGTTTCAACAGTCCTCTCTTCCAATGACTTCTGAAATTTGTGTATCTCCCTGTATGAATACATTTCTCATAAGTACTAAGGACTCCTTTATAGTGACACAAGCCAGATGAGAACATCAACAAGTGTGAGGCTAAAGTTGACTGAAATTGCAGACAAGTAAATGACATAAGAAAAACAACTTCAATTGAATAATTGCTAATGTAAATATTTGAGCTTGTTTGATATAAATGAAAATTCATTTAGAATTAGATTTATATTCTGCGGAATGAATATGCTTGAATGAATTCTTGGAAAATCGAATAAACTCTAAACTTAACAAGGAAATAAGCTATTAAAACTAATGCATGCTAAGTACAACCTAGTTAAGCTACATATTTAAAATGAACTCTATAGTTAGTCCAAACATAAAAATTCAGTAAAAATGAAAGCCATATGGAATGAAATGAATTTTATATGGAATTAATCCAAACAATATGTAAAGGCTAATAAAGTCTAGAAGTTGTTGCCCCGTTTTAAGCTTTGAAACAAGGAATCCAATTTGCATAATCTATGATTCGAAATTGTTCAAGTGAAGGTTGATAATATCGTTAGTACAAGTGTGATTGCAAGTAGTAGGGATTGCAAATGTACAAAAATTTAGCACAAATCACAGAATATGCATCTATGGCATGCTCAAATGATATGAATACCCGTAATTTGAGCCGTAAGAATATCCACACTAATCAAAGATAAAGAACGATTGCCTACATTTTAGAGTTATTTAGCCAGGACGCTTTGAATGGAGTCGATTTATGTGATACCCACATTGAAATTTGAGATGTAAGGAAGTAAAAAATTTCAGAAAGAACTGAAAAGATACCTGATTGGAGTAGTACCCACAACAAGAGCTGAACCATGAAAATGGCGATAAGACGAGCTGTGACGGAGCTTGACACAGTGTTTGACGAATGGGTTTGAAGTACTTGTTATGGATTTTACATGGGATGGTAATGGAAACTTCACCTCTGCCAAACTACTAATATCCCCATCACTATCGTAATAACGATATTCAAATGTTTTTTCTGTTCGAATTTGAATTTGAGCATGATTTGGCGAAGCAGTCAATAGCCTAGCCTTTGGATTTGAGAGGTTCAGAGGTGGAGGAGAAACTGTTGGCACCCACGATAAGTAGTTCTGCATTTCTTCTTCTTCTTCTTTTGTCTCTAAAATCTGTGCATCATCACCACTGGAGCTCTACAATTGAGCCTTCGCTCTTAATTCAATTTAAAGAAGTCCAGTTTAAAGAACGTTCCTATCGAGTTGGCTCGATATAATTCTGTTTGGTTCGTTTACCGGGCTGTAAGACCAATTCCGATTGTGGATCTTAATTCAATTTTTGAAAAAGATAAAAGAAAATATAGAAGTAAATTATTATTTTTTTTCTATTAAGGTTATGTAGATAATACAATTTTTTATGAAAATTCTTTTTTTTTTTTTTTTTTTTTCCTTGTGTAATGGACTAGCACCGCTAATGGGCCAGCATTGGTTAGACAGTAAAGTGTAGGCCTTAATTCTATTAAGGACTTGTGATGGAAAGGTCCATTAGGATTCTCTATAAATAGGTAATTGAGTGTACCGGCTCTACAATCTGCTGGACAAGTCTACGTTTGTATATAATAAGAACAAATAATATGTAAAAAATATTAACATTTAATTTTTGTGCGATTAGGATCTCACGATTTCGAAAGACCGTGCTCCTTATGTGTGCATCTGATCTACAAGGTTGATAACTGAGGAGGAAGATCTTAAGTGTGCTTATGGTTTTTGACAAAAGTCTACTTATTAATTTGTAAAGTTTGCGTTAGGATTGAGTCTAAGTGGTGATCAGACCATTGAAAATGAGTCAAGATCCTGAGCTAAGTTAAACCGTGATTGCTTTATCAACACCAACAAGTTCAGGTGAATAACACAAAAATTGATTATGTCCCCTTATTTTAACACAAGAAATCAATTTTATGTAGTTTATGTGTGCTTGGTGTTCTTAAAAAACTATGCATACCTTAGATCCTATATTTAATACTATATAATAAGAGAGACAACATTGTGTAGTCCGAGATAAGGAAAACTATAGTCTCATACAAAGCTCCAAAACTTATTAATTTTTATGTGTTACAATTCATTTAAAAATGAAACTTTCCAATATGAACAGAGAGGATTCTAAAAGTAACCCTTTATTCTACGAGTGTGCATTAGAAGATAGCACAAACTGAGTTTAGATATGACATGCTGTTAACACTATTTTGTATTTGACTCATGTGATAATATATTGTTCATAATTTACATAATTGCTTGGATTTCAATTCTAAATCTCTGAGATTGTCAGTATTATAAAGAGTACATTTTAAGTTTAGTAGTATAACTATAATAGTATTTCATTATTTTGTTTAAAAAACATAGCTCATAAGTAAATTAAAAGTACAAATGTTGTTAGATTTAAGTCTAGGTATTCTTATGTAGCTATAAATAAAACCACTATTCTAAAATAGCCACAGAGTACTGACTTCGTACGATTTCACAAAAAATATATAGATTACATTTAAAGTTGTTATCGTATAGATCCTAAAGGTAAGTACTAACCTTTAGGAACTTCTCCCTTCAGCGATGATGAAATCGAAACCATAATATATCTCTAGCACATTAGGCGAATAAAGTATTTTTATTACGATAGATATCAAAATTTGTGTTCATTATACTTATTGTGTACTAATATATACTATCCTTTACAAACTCATTGAATAAAATAGAACGAATAGCTATCTATTGAACAGATCTAATAAAAATAAGATGTTTTAAAAAAAAAATTATATAAAAAAAAAAAACGATTAAGTAAAATTATTACCTCCCTCATTAATCATTCTACCAGTCGACTTATATATATAGTTTATGGGCGTATATAAATAGTGGACAAAATTCGTAGAGATCTCATCTCACAAATAAGAGACAGAATCTTCATGAAAGTGATTGTGATGGACTGAAGAAGGAAGTATAAATCTATATGCAACTAGGAGCATTTCAATCAATTCCTTAGATCCCTCATGTAGAAGATTTTAATTACTAGGTAAAATTAAACAAGTAGTTTCCAGTCAACCAAAGTTCATGCTTTATATACACCTAATAGAGACTTATCATTTATAGAATTCATTAATATAAATGGGTATTACTTTGGTGCAATTATGTGTTTTAATTTCGTTCTATATCTTGGCAAATTGAAGCTGATCTAATTAGATGGCATCATATTAAGTGGACAAAATTTGGCTAATATGATGGTTATATTTCACAAAGATGTACCATATATTGGCAATATGTGATATCTTACAATATCAAGAGAGATTTCGATATAACGCATATGTACTGTTGAGATAGGAGTGTAAATTGAGAGAAAAAAATTTATAGAATAGATATGTGACCACTCCACTATTTTCCACATCTTTCTTTTTGTGTTTTGCTTCCTTGTCTCATTATTAGTGTCAGATAGTAAATTTTTTGTCAAATACTTACTTCCACACTACCAAGTACTCTTCGTGACCATCACATCAACGCAGTCATGTAGACCTCTACACCACCACAAGAAAAATAATTATTATTGCGAAAACATAAGATATACATAGTTAAACTTGACTATGAAGTTCTATAATTTAAAGATTGCATCTCCCATGTGACTCTGTTAAGATTTATAGACTACCAAGGAACTTTTTTGTATACTCTACAACTTAAATAAATCAAAGCAAATAAGACTTAAACACCGACCATAGTGAGAAACCTTCCGACTGATATTAAAATTTAATAATTATGCGCTACATCTCAAAAATTATAGATAATTTGTATTCACAAGTTCATTAGAATGATATAACCTCTCTAGTGTTTCACTATCTTTATGGATGTTTCATATAATACAATATATTCCATATTCTCATAATATATTACAATATTTCACTGTTCGGATTTTGATATTCTCCTTATGTCCATCCAATATAAACTTTTTACGATGTTGTGTGATTTTATATTAGTAACAGTGTGACAACAGAAACATTTATATATCAAAAGTACAAGAAAAAAAAACAATAATCGCTATTTTTTTTCATATGTTTTTGAATGTAGCATATTGTTAGTAGATGTAAATATATAACTCTCTGTATATTATCTTCTCCTTCTTTGGTGATTGATTTGTTTAACTAGAATTCGTTTTCGATGTGGAGTTGGGAACCATTTCCAGACAATTCTATGCTATTGTTTTTCATGATCATCTTACAATTACATAAGTAGCTGGTTGGTGAACTTTTCATCATAGGCTCAATATTTTGCTTCAATTAGATTTCTGTAGATTGCAACTGTGAAAGCTTTTTTTCATCATCCAAGGCACTCACACGCATGAGTTATCGTACTGGTTTCAGACGAACTTGTCAAGGTCCTTTTCAGGTATACCTATAAGCCTTTGTGGTAGTGGTTTGATGGTGTTGGTTAATACATGAGAAGGCTGTGGTTTGAGTAGTGAGATTAGGAAGCCCCAATACGTGTGCGTGGTTAGACTCCGAGTCTACTGATCGTCGCTGGTTCTTCAAGGATGTGTCTGGTCGTGAAAAGTAAGGATGGTTGGTGTTGTTGAGTGCTGTGCCTGTGTGATGAGAGTGGAATGTGACTATTTCTGCGATAAGCAGTACTAAGGACTCCTTTTATAGGTGTGGAATTAACTGAAGGGAGCCAGATTGAGTAATATCAACAAGGGTGGGGTCGAAAAGGCTAAAGGTATTTGAATGAGAGTAATTATGCAGTACAGTAGCTGGATGGTATGTGGAAAAGTGGTTGGCTGAATAAGAGAGATAAGTGGGTGACGAATGAGGATCTGGTGAGGGCAATTGTGTGTCGAGCAGATATGAGATTGGTTGGTTAAAGTGGTGAGGCCGAGATGGTTATTTGTTGTTGAAGTACTTGGAGTTATAGATATAAAAAAAATTACATTATAGAATAGATTATATTCTGCGGAATAATATGCTTTGGTGTATTAGTGAATGGTGCATTGTGAAGCAAGATAGTGGTCGTGATAATAGGTTAGATAACTTCGCTTAGAGTGGCTTGAGGTAGGGGATTAGATAATTAATAGACATACCAGTTTGAAATTGAGATCATAGAATAATTGTGGGTGTGTGTGTGTGTAGGTTTATAGCTTAATAGTAGATTGGCATATACCTTTACATGTGTACTACGACTGCTTACATATTGGTCATAAATGCAAATATTGTTTTGTATTTGAACTGTCAATGGAATATATTTAGCTTAAGTTCTACTACATATATATTAATTTAATTGAAATAAGTGTGAACTCAAGTTAACATAAATTGCAAGCTTTCCAATATAGGAATAGTGAGAGAATCAATGACCACATAGTATTATATCATCTTGCAAGTAGTAATTTAATTAATCACCATATGTATTATTAGTAAAAAGGCTAGAGTAACTTAGCCAAACCAATAGTACATAGTACAGTCTATGTTGTCGTCAATGCAATGTCTTATTTAATAGACTTTTTATGAGAGATTTACGAATATAGGACATATAACTCCCAATTTAAGACATAGGTCTAACATTCTTCTTAAATGATATATTGACAAATGTTTTTCATTAGTGATATGGTTTGAAATCAAACATATCTTTAGTTATCTGAAAGCGTGATTAGAATAATTGACAAAACGCATTATCAGTTATAACTTGCAGTATTTTAATTTTGCTACAAAATGTTAATTACTCAAAAAAAGTCAAAGATCTTAGTACACAGATATCAATCCTATGGTCAAAATATTGCTATTTCAAAATTAACCTAGGCCTTATCAATCAGCTGTTTAGATACATAGTATGATTGATGAATTACTTATAGTGAGCGACTCCGTAAACTATTTTGAAGCCGTGTAGATAGAATGAATAATATCCTTACACCAGGGAGCTGAAAATCTTCTAAAAGTTTATTACGACAAAAGAAACGTTCCTTGTCCTTAACATTATATTTAGAGTTATTAAGATGTAATCTAATAGACTCAAGGAGACTGCATTTTGGTAAATTAGAGAGTTCCATAAAGAATTAATGATGATTTGGAGTAATTGATTACTTCCATCATATTTATTGATAAATTTGTAGAGATTGATTAAAGTGTTAAAGCAATACATATAAATTACAATTGATAACAGAAAGAACTTGTAAATATGATCATTCTTACACTGAAAACTTGAGAAATAAATACCTAGTATTCTCAAGCTCACACCCAAAAAACAACCGTAAGTAAATTTCTTTGACACAAAACACACTCAATGCAAAAAAATTTTCAAAAATTAGGTTTAAGGTATCTCGTGTTTAATAAATATAGTTTATATGCATGTGCCAAACGGGTGCTGAGTGTGTGGCTGTCACTCTACAAGATAGTCTATTGGAGATGCAATATTACGGTATTATTTAATGAGGATTTAAGCAGTTACCGATTTACTTAAAAATAATTACAAATTAAAATCTATAATGTTATATTTGAAGTATTTTTAATCATTTTTGTGTGCCATAGTTATTTAATATGCCTTTTGGTAAAGGAAACAATTACACTCACTCAATTAATGACTGGCACCAAGAACATCTTACTAAATATACTAAATTAATACAGGACACTCAACAAAAATCTGCACTACTTTATTTACGCAACGGATATCCAAAATCGAGTGAAATGGGTGAGGGTTAAGAAGAATAACGTGAAGTAATTTCAAAAAATATGAGGTATAATTTTTCTGTTACTCCCTGAATTTAAATTAGAAATGTTGTAGGCGTAGTCGATTTTAGATGTGATATGCTCGCATATGGATTTCCAATCTTTTATTGTCGCTTAAGTCCGCTTTTGTGTGGATGTGCATTTTTTGATTTCGTTAAGGTTATCTGATCGCTAAGAGAAAGGAGAGGAAGCCTGTTAGTTAGATGCAACCTATGCACTAAGAAAATTAAAGTTAGTACAATGTCATATTTCTTATTTTTACTCTTTGTAATTTATTCTTTTACATATGTTTGTACTCCCTAGTAACTGTTTTTCATTATAACTGAGATGAAATAGGCCACATCCTTATTTGCCAACTGTTGTGAGGTCATATTCATACAAAAATTGAGCGCACTGATTCGCTCTTGATATTATACCACAAAATTTTAAAAGTATAGATATCAAGAATTTAAAAAGTATAATAAAACACATATGTTTTCGCATATACGGAAGGTTTTGTTGCCTCTGATTATAAATTCTGTTTTGGTTCGTTTACCGGGCTGCTAAGACCTGTTTAATTCCTTGGTGAGAGAAAGATCTTTTAAATTCAATTTTTTGAGTCATATATAGATGTGTATAAAGAAGTTAAATAGAAGATATAGATTATGTTACATTGTTTTAATGTAGATTTACTCTCTTTCTTTCTATATCCCTCGATATGTTCATGAATGATTATAGATGAGTAGATAATAATAACATACTCTATAATAAATTAATGGAAAAAAAACAAATTTCCTTTTTTCTCTTTTTTTTTATTTTTTTATTGGAGAATTTTATTATTATTACCTATAATAAAGATTGATCATATTTAAGTGTTCAATACAATAAATATTTACATTTTATTAGTGAATTTTGCGTATAAATTACAGCATTTAGCCTCCCTTCGGTAGTGATGCTAAAATGGAGTTCATTATTTTCTATTAAATGTGTATATCACAATGTTTATAGTAATACCATAGGTTCGAAGTTTGTAACGCCGAATGTGTGGATTGAGTAGGTGGTATTTATATAATAAATTTGTCATACGAGCTCTCTATGATAATTTTTTAACGTCTGCAACTCTTGAAAACATCTTTTATACTATCATTTGAAAATCTAAAATATTTATATTTTTTTTTTTTTTTTTTTTTTGAGTATTATTGTCTTATAAGTGAAATTAAAAATAATATCTTTGTCCTAGCAGCAGAGTGCAAGGGTGTAAATGTTCGGTTGAGTGCATGGGTGTAAATGTTCAGCTCGAAAGCTCATCAAATCTTATCAACCTTATATATAATATTTATTTTAAATTTATTTGAGTTTTGTGCCAAACTCGAGTTTAAAATTTTTCAAGTTGAACTCGAGGCTAAAATTTTTAGTTCATTAATCTAATCGAGTTAAATGCTCTGTTATCAAATTTCGACCCTATCATATTTGAACTCGTCTTGACTCGTTTGCACCCTACTTGAGTGCTCCAATGCCATAGGTGATACATTAAGGATTCGTATCCAAACCACTTTCCTTCCCTTTTAAGAATTTGAATAATTGGAAAGAATAACAAATTCATAAACAATGTGACTTTGTACAAATTATATCCAATTAATTTTAGAGTAAATGACACAAATCTTTTGACATTAGGCAAAAATTCATATTGGATCTATCACATAGTTGCAGAAATTGAATTTAATCATTTCATAAACAACAATCTAAGGATTCAATTTGTCAAAATAAAAGTTGAGAACTCTGTTTTTTCCCCCTTCATATTCTGAGATAGAAGAAAGGAATTGTCCGAAATCAAACTTGGATAAGAGTTGATACTAAGGCCCTTCTTTGCTGCCATAGTAGGAGCTATGTATAAGCCAGGTTGAGCTTCACCGTCAGGCGTCCCTCACCAGTACACCTAATCACATGTTCAAAAGGGGTTACATAAGGTATTCATCTTGGTCCTTTTCTAGCAAGTCCAGATAAATTCCATGCATATGCTCTGGGCCTGACATCCTTCAGCCTTACAATTTTATTTCCATCTAACCATTTCTGTATTATAATTTATATTGACTAAAAAAATTGACTTGCCTTTCTGCAATTGAGAAGTTAACTGGAAAAAAAAAAAAAAAAAAAATCTTATTTGCTATTTTCAGATGACTGTCTACAAAGTTCCTAAAATGAAAAATAAATAAACATTGATTAGTATCCTATATTCTCTGAGATGTTGGCAAAGTCAGAGAAGCTCCCTGATTGGGAAAATCATCCATTGTCATTATGGAGTTTTCAGTATACATCCTTTGAGATGTTAAAGTCATATGTAGCCTCTCTGATGTTGGTGGTACACCACTATTCCTCTGAACAACTGTAGGCATATAGATATTCTCCGGAGGCATAGCGTTCGCCCGCTGAGAAGCTGGAATCATGTTGTCAGTCCTTTGAGATGTTCTGGTAACATACATCCTCTCAGAACCTGGATGTGAAGCAATATCAGACCTCTGAGATGTTGAACCCATATGGTCATTCCTATGAGCTGTAGCAGGTACATATCTCCTCTCAGAAGCTGGAAAGATTGCAGCTGTCCTTTGAAACGTTTGACCCATTGCAGCTGTCCTTTGAAACGTTTGACCCATGGCGTCATTCAAGTGAGAAGTTGCTATCATGTCATATAACCTCTCAGAAGCTGGATGTGCAGTACAGTCACTCCTACAAGTTATGCTGTTATTCCTATGCGATATTGAACCCATATTGTCACTCTCGTGCGATGTAGACACAAACAAACACTCAGGTGTTAAAGCCATTGCAGCTTCAGTCTTCTTAGAAGATGGACCAGCATTGCCATTTCTCTGAGACATTTGAATGTATATTCTCTGAGAAGTTGAAGATATGCTTTCAGTCCTCTGAGATGTTAGCACTGGATTTTCACTCCACCTAGATGTTTGAGGTGTATACATGCTTTCAGACGTTTGAGGCATGGTTAGTGACATCTCTTGGCTTGATGAGCTCCTCTCTGTTGGAGTAAGTATACCATGTGATCCCTCCCGGTCAAATAAATCCTGCTCAGATGTTGCTGGCAAGACCAGAGATGCCCCCTGGCTTGGTACATCATCATCAACTATTTGAGGCATAGATGATATTCCTGAGTTTGATAAATCTTCTTGCAGGAGCTCTCCACACTTTGGTGAATCCCTCTCTGATGCTAGTGAAATATCTGGGGAAAGTGATTGGTTGGGTGAATCTCTCTCATGTGGAGGCACTGATGAAACTCCTCGACTTGCTTCCATATGAAACGATGGAAGCATGGACAATGACACTCCTAGGCTAGGCAAGCCCCTCCACTGTTGTGCCACTGTTTTAATCTGCGTGTAAAATTGCACACTTGCCTTTCCTGCCATTTAGAAATAGAAAAAAAATGAGGGGGAAAAGCCTGTTAAAACCGTTCAACCAACAATTGGGCACTGTTACCAGAGCAGGCAAAGTAGGGTGTAAGGAATTATACCACAAAAATTGAGATCACCAGCAAAAGACGCTTTTGGTTCGTTAGATGACGAAACTGGCACTGGAACTGGAACAGGAACATTGATTCCAACCTGTCAGACTAATTTCAGGTCAAAAAAAAATTATGCAATTTGTATCGGCAGGCTTAAACAGAGATTGCCATAAGCACATCTCATTTTGCTATAAAAGCTCTCTCTGAACTAAATCCTACTCCGGTAGAGTAACCACTCCTTCAGTTGACTGATCACAACAATTGACAAAACACGATCAAATGCAGGGGCCAAGATTTTGATTCCCCCTTTCCCACCACAGCTAAAAAAAATTAAAATAACAATTAAAAAAAAAAAAAAGCTTTTTCCATCTTGAATGGTGAAAACTAACATACATTAAGTTCTTCAGATTTAGAATGTTTACCCATAGAATTTCCACCTAATGGACTAACTAGAGGTTCAAGAGATCTTCTAGACAGTGAAAACAGAAAAGACCCAACACTTTATTCTGAACCAGTTGGATCCCTATATTCCAGATGGAGAGAAATGCCAGCTTACCAGTGCAGCATCAATATCATTCTGAAACTTTCTTGCAGCAACACCAGATGATGTAAATATGGATGCACCATTCCTATACCTGCCAAAAGTAAGTTTATATGAATTCAAAATTAGACAAAAATTTTAGGATCATTGAGGCAATATGCAGATGTGTGTTTTACCAGATATCATACAAAACACATCAAACCAATGCTATCTTTTTCCCACATTTTAAACGCTACATTTCTGAAAGTAGCAATTCCTTTTGGCACTTCAATATTAAAAAGCAGCTATTCTTAGTCAAAATTTCATAAAAATTCTTCATGAAATACGCAAATTATTTAAAAGCCTTCCACAGTAAATATTTAATTAAACTCTAGCGAGAAAGGCAGGATGAAGAAACAATTTAAAATTTACCATGAAAGTAAATTATCACGTGTGTTATAAATTTAGATAATAAAGAAGTTAAAAACATGCTCAAGTGGGTGCCTGAGTTAGTACCTGTTTCTATTCGCAATGGTTATGGCCTCTTCTAGGCTGTGAGCCTGCCAGTGGTAAAAAAAAAGGGGAATATAGCTAACCAGTCTCCATAGCATTCACATGAAAACACAAGAAATACTAATTACAGGGTACCTGCATACAAAGTAGCACAGGGCCAAAAATTTCTTCCTGCTCAACACAAACATTGCTGTCAAAAGGCAAGTTCTTTGGTTTAACTTTTCTTCGACTGAGAATCATAAATTGCCCAATCCCATTCATTTCTGTAGCAAAACAAAGTTCAAGCATTGAAACATACCTTGTAACAATCCATGTTGACTGTAACATCACATAAGATTGTAGGACCAACAAAACTTCCTTTCTCATATCCTGGCACCTACAATATGGAACTCGGCATAAGCTTCCATTGAATAATAATAGAATAGAAAAGACTGCCAAATGTTCTTCAGTGAATCATCATCCCTTAATCAAAGATCTTATCTAATTAGAGACCATAGAAATACTAATAAGAAAATGCAAAATTCTTTATTGCACAATAAATGCAACAGCATTTAAAAGAGTCCGAAGAGAGTTGTGAAGAGAGCAAAATATAAACCCTTTACTGATACAGTAAAGAAAAAGAGGTTCATTTGATAAATTTTGTGTGTGTTTCTGTACTATACCACAATGTTTCTTCCATCAAGAATAAGCCTAGCACCACTGTCAACACCACTCTGAACTAATCTGCTTATGCGATCCTTTACCTGTGTAATTAGCAATCACAAAATTGCCATTTAGGATGAAACACAAGACAATTTCAAAGTAAGTAACTGAATTAATCAAGCAAAAAAGAGAAACATGGCAATCAAAATGGAAAACTTGCTGCCAGTATATATAAGTGAATTATATTTGTCCTTTTTATTCATTTCCTTTTCACCAAAATTTCATTGAGGGAGAAAGAGAGAGGAGCATGCATGTGGGGAATAAGCTATCCTCCTATCCTATCTGATTTGAGAATAAAGTTTTCAACTACTGCATTAGAATCCACTAGCAAGAAAATGCCATAAGAAAATTTGCATACAACGGGATTCAGCTCTCAAACCACACTCTCTTTATATCAAGCAAGTTAAGTAGAAATATCATCAGGCCTCTGCATATTCACCTCTTTGCTAATTACTGGACCAATGTCTGCACTAGGATCAGTGCCCAAATTCACTTTAAGTGCTTTGGCACGCTCCACAAGTTCATCTTCCCTGGAAAAATTCATAAAACACTCTAGTTGATGCTGTATGCCGTGTGGTTAAAATCAAGAAAGACACAGATTTTCTCATATGCCAAAATACAAAATTAATTTGGACCAGGTCATCTACACCATCTAATAGAGCAACATTGTTCAATTCACTATAAATCCCCCCACTCCTCCACCCAACTTTTTATCAACTTATACTATGTTATTCAGTGCTCCTAGAACAGTAAAGACAGTTTTTGATGTTGTTTTCTCTTGACAGCAGAACCAAGCATTGACTCAATCTTTAGAGATAGCAGCAACAATAGCTTGAGGAAGAAAGCAATGCTTGTATCTGTTGTCTCGATAAAACAACCTCAAATATCTGGACAAATGCTTGAGTATTCATGGTTGTAGCTTAGAGATGTCTACATCACTGGGCGGAAAGATCATTAGCAGATAAAGATAGATCAAGCATAGTTTAGAAGATCATGAAAGAGGTGAAATTCTTGAAAACTTCTTTTATTGAGGGGAGAAAAAAAAGACTTGTCCAGAGATATAAAATAGTATAATATCTTTAGTGGATCTTTCATAAAGCAAGAGAAAAGGAATGAAAAATACAATGAAAACCTTTTTGTTTTCATCATCTTTTTCTTTTACATTTTTTAGCCCTCAATTTCATCACAAAATCCACATTTTTCGTCTGGCTTTTCACTGATGCACTCTGATCAACAAATTTCAACCCTTTTCCAAAAATTTGTGCATAAAGAAAAACAATGACAAACCACCATGGGATGGGTTTTGTGGAGAAAAAAAGTGTCAAAACACAAGTGAATATGAATCTTTTTTTTTTTTTCCGAAGACAACTTTCAAATCCCTATCCTTATTTAGTTTACTCAGCATGAGACAGATAACTGAACAAGATAAATCTTCGAGTAAACAAGTCACCATACCATGCCATTGATCCTCCAACAAAAACAGCCGTACTCAAAGCCATGCACCGTTGCCCCGCAGCACCAAAACCAGCAGCAACCAAGGCATTCAAAGTATCATCCATGCTTGCGTCAGGCATGATAATTGCATGATTTTTTCCGCCTATATTGGACTAAGGAGTCAACACAACAATAAGTTATACAGCCAAATTTAGGAGGACCTAGGATTTCCAACATAATCTACAAATTACAAGAACTTGCGTATGTGCATGAGAGAGGGGGAGAGTGCATCATATATAGTGAAATGAGAGGGTTAACCTGAACTCGTTTGCCTCTGGCAGCTGCCCTAGCATGTATGTGCATGCCAGGCTGGAAACAGGTGAACAAACAACCGGAAAAAAGAATGTAAGCATCAAATAAGTGAACACAGTATATGCAACGATAACATTAAGGCTGGTCAAAAGTTATAACCATTTGTTTTAAGAGGAAAATTGCATTAGAATCAATCCAACAGATGAAAGCAAATAGTTAAAATACTATTTTCAATAACTGAAGTTCAGTAAGCTCCAAAAATAATGCATGCATGTGAAAACATGGAGAACTTTTATATTTATATCATTGCATCATGAATTGCACAAATATAATTGTAAGCAGGATACATTAAAATCTGAAACTTACAATATCTGAACCAATGAATGATAAAGCCTTTATATCATCATCATCACATATGTAATTAACAATATCCTGCAAAAGTTTATTTAAAGTGATTGGAATTAGCGAATTGTAATGGAAATATTAATGTCCAACAAGTACTTCACAGAACACAAATCAACCAACCCATGTCTGATGTTAGTCTTTCTTGAACCTTTCCCTTCTCATTTATATCAAAGAAAATGAGAAAGGACCCCTAATTATATATAGCAAACCTCAAAATCATATATAACATTCCGTTCATAGTTCTATAAAATTCATTGTGATCACGTGAAAGACAAAAACAATAAAAAATAAAAAGACACCAAAACAAAGCTTACATTGGTGCCATGAACAACATTTAAGACACCATCAGGCAAACCAGCCTCCATAGCCAATTCTGCGAGTATGATTGAAGCCCCTGACAGCATGGAGTTAAAGATATTACCAATCATATTTACATCCAAAGAGGTATTCAACTGAGATGCATTGGTTGCAAGACACGATTCCAATTAAATGTATCTAACAATAATGCAAGACTAAAAACCTATATGGTAGTATGTAATTACTTATCTGCATATGTTCTCAGACGATGATACAGAGAAATTATTCTCTTCCATGGGATTCTGAGTTGGGGATATGTTTTACATAAAAAATAAATAAATAAATAAGATAAGATAAGATAAGATACAGTGATGACCATTTTTCCTGGCTAGTGGCTACTGATGGAATGTCTTGAAGAATTCTTGTGCATCCTTCATGAATCATGTAGCACAGGACATTGGTTTTACATTAAGTGTTCAACACTGGGCCAGACTGATTCTCAATTTTTAATCTGCTATACAGCGTGAGAGAATTTGTATGGAGATTACTAGGGCTACAAATTAGATTACAAGAGTAAATTTTTCGGGAGTGAATATTTATGATCATGAATCTTGAATCCTCAATGTATAAACTACCCCTGATAATGTTTACAAATTCAGAAGCAAATGTCCATGATTAGAAATTCCTCCAACTGAATTAGTACTGGAAAATATTCTAACGATATTTCGAGAAGATCATGTGGTGCAAGTTTAATTTGTCTTAATCCTTATTCTAAAACAAAGATTTTTATAGAAAATCCTTGTGCAATGAACCGTTCCATTTTTTTAAAATGCCCAGACACATGCTTTCACATCCGACAGTTAACATGCACCCATAATAGAAACTAAATTCCAAGTTAAAGGTTTCACGTACAAAATGAATTCACTTCTCAATGGTTTATCTTAGCCAATAAAGGTTGGTATTTCCAACAATCCAGTATCCAATAGAAGCATCATAAAAGGAAAAGATATAAACATAATATTGAATGGGTAAAAACTAACCTGGATTTTTTTCACATGGCTTAAGAACAAAAGTATTTCCACATGTGACTGCAATGGGGAACATCTGCAAAAATGAAGAACAATGAGCAACATTTCTTTCTTTACTTGATTTATCTTGTAATGTGCTAAAGTAACAATATAAAAACACTCAAATTTCATATTTTGACAAATAAAAGAAAATAGAACATACAGAAACTAGATTACATAAAGTTGGCAAAGAATAATCCATTCAGCCAAAATATGCTTGCGAGAAAGTGGTAAAAAGGTTTAAAAGCTGAGGGGCAATGTTTTTCAATAAAAGAATCCAGGAAGAAAAAAGAGAAAAGATGAATAAAAACAATTACCAAAGGAAAAAACTAAAAATCACAGCACATACCCACAAGGGAATCATTGCTGGGAAGTTAAAAGGGCATATCCCAGCACAAACTCCAAGTGGTTCTCTAATACAGTATGTATCAATTCCATTAGAAGCATTAGGAACAAATTCCCCCATTTGCAAAGCTGCCATTCCACAAGCATGCTCAACTACCTCTATACAAATAAGCAATGAGGTTAATCTCAATAACTAGGATCAGATTGTAATTAATATTCTCAAACATATAAGAAAATGACAATAGGAAATATCTGTTAAAACTGACCTAAACCACGGAGTACATCATCTTGGGCACCTTTGAGTGTCTTACCCTGTTCTAAGGTAATATTCATCGCAAGCTTATCCTGAAATTAATTTTTTGGCAGTTTAAAATAAAAAATTTGCAGAAAATCTAAGAAAAAAATACTGGTTTTAAAATGTCTATGAAAACAATGCTAGTAAACTAACCATATCCCTGCGAATAAGCTCCTGTAATTTGAACATGATTCGTTGACGAGTGGAAATTGGGGTATTTTTCCATGAAGGAAAAGCTTTCTTGGCTGCAATCACTGCATCTTTGTACTCTTCATAGGCGGTTAATGGAACTTGAGAAACAACCTCTTGTGTAGCCTAATTTAAATTGAGTTCATAGGCAGTTAATAGAACACGAGAAACCTTTTTTAACTCAAACAAAAACTGGACTATACTGAAGTCCTTTAACGTTAAAAGAGGGGAAAAAATGATGCAGTATTCTTAGCTTACAGGGTTTATCACATCGATGACAGAAGACCCTTGCGATTCCACAAATTTTCCTCCAATAAAGTTAGGAACTTTCAGCTGCAATTGTTTAGCAGGAGAAGACTTTAGGCCAAATACGTTCAACAAATGATTTAAAAGACAGAAGAAGTTTAACAATTCAAATATATCGTATCCTACAGGGTGGTTGTTTTGCTCCAAGGACCCTCCAGTTGTGGAAGTGCTTGTGTTTACAGGAACAGACCTGTTAGGTCTCCATGACTTTATATTTTTCTCTGCAAAAGATTAAAAAAAAAAACCTTCACAATTACCACAGTGTGAAGAGGAATGCAAACTAATGCTTCATAGAAGTCTTCAATTATGTAAATTCAAGTTCCTACTAATTATATAAATTCTCAAAATTAAACATGCAAAGCAGTTCTCGTGAAAAGTTCTGAATTAGTCTGACCTAAAAAATTCCCTTGACGGATTTTAGCTTTGAGGTTATACAAATGCCTTGGGGTTGACTGCAGCTCTGGATTGCTTTGTTTGAGAGCTTTTAGCACTTGTCTTGGTTTAATACCAGCTTCAGTCATCATTTTAATTTGCCTAACTTCCTCTTCAGAGAAACGACGGCTATAAGGATGCTCTGACATGTCTTTTAAAGGTTCATGATTATGCTCTCCATTTTTAACAGCAAGTACCCAAACATCGTCTTCTTTCTTCCCAATTGCTTCAAACGGACAATTGATAAGCCGCGAACAAGCTTTCCTTTTTCTTTGACTTTCTTCAATCTTTCTCCTATTTCTATAAACACCACCTCTATCACAACCAAGAATCACTCTCCTATCTTTCCTAGACTTTTTAATTGTTACCACATAACCTTGATTAGCCCCAAAATCACGAACATATTTGATTAGCCCTTCACGATCCTGAAATGTTCCTGGTTCAGGAGGAAGCATCTTATACTGACCCATACACTCCATTTGAGTTCCTGTTTCCATTTTTTATGCTAGATTTTGAATTTGGTGAGTATGAAACACAGAAAATAGAGCAATAACATTGATTTTTTTTTTTTCTTGTTTCACAATCGCATATAAAGTGCACCAATTATACTTCTGCATTAACACTGCATAGTCATCACCATCATCTTCTCCTTCTGTTTGTTTGGTGGACTACCTACGACACTTCGATGAGAGTCTCTAGGCCGGTACTCCCAATTGAATGAGACAAATAGAATATGCCCGTGTTGAATGGAATCTGATAACCGGAAAATACTACTGGCGATTGGTGACGGAGGAGCAACAGCAGTCAGCAAGCTTAGGGTTTTGGTGGAATTTTTTTATTGCGTTTGAGGAAATAAGAAAGGAAAGAATTCCGAGTATGAAGTTGCCTTATTTAGTCATATGGGATTTTCATATGATTGTTGGGGGAAAAAATTTATTATTTTTACTGTGATCAATTTAACTTCTTTTTCAATTTGAAATTTTTTGCAAATTTGAGTTTGCTTAAAATATTATATTTTAATCTACAATCTATAATCTATAATCTATAATATAATTATTATATATCTATAATCTACAAATGTGTAATATAAAATGAAAAATGATTGGATTACCAATAAATCTTATATTTTTAATGATTTTAGTTATCCTAAAATAACTTTAGACACGAGTCTAAACCTAATTTATTTTAAACGGTCTCTAATTATTGCGGCAGCGATAGCATTTTCCTTTCACTCTTTTTTTTATTTCACTTCCTATTATTTTTTCGCTTTTAATCTTTTATTCACTTTAATAAATGTCCTACATATGTAAAGTTGGAGTACGATTAACCTCTTGATTTGAAATCATTGGTTATGTACTTGGTATTGCCATAATTCATACAACAACATTTTGTAGTCTTAGTGAGATTAGTAAGAGGAGGAATGGTTTATCTGGCGTGAGATATCACATTGTTTGAAGAACCCTAGATGCTGTCAAAACAAAGAATCGTCAATAAGAGCATTCTAATTCGTCGTAGATTCTTATCCAAGACTTACGTACGTAAAGTCGGAATACGATTGACCTTTTGATTTGAAATTACCGCTTATATACTTGCTATTGACATAATTCACACAAATTTTGTAGTCTTAGTAAGAGGGGGAATGGTTTATCTCGGGTGAGATATCACATTGTTTGAGAAACCTTAGATATTGTCAAAATAAAGAATCGTCAACAAGGGTGTTCTAGTTCGTTATAGATTCTTATCTAAGACTTGTATCATTTGATGTATCGTGATGGAATCCATGTGTTTGTTATGTGTTATAAGTTATTGGAAAAACAATTCAGATATGAAAGATTTAGAAAAATTATTAGTTTGACGTATAAATCAATTAACAAAATATTTGCTATTGTAAAAATTTTATATTTTAATTTTAGTTTTATTATTTAAAAGAAAATAAATTCTTTTGATTTATTAAAAGATGAACCAACTTTAGATAGTAAAGTTTTATGCATAATATACATATACCAGTGTTCTCAGTACTTACTTAATTGATATTATTATTAATAAATTATATTTAAAAAAAAAACTTTAGATTTGACATAGCCAACGAAATATTTTAATTTAATATATATATAGTAATATTTGATGATAATTTAAAAGATTTCAATTAGAGAAATAAGGAAAAAAATATATATAGAGAGAAAAATTCTCGAAATTTTTTCTTTATTTCTATTATTTGATAAGATAATTAAGTTTTTTAAAATTTTTTAGTTGTTTACTTTTTTAATTTATTTTTTCAAAAATTTAATTTAAATATTTGATAGTAATTCAAAATTTTTATTTAGGAAAAAGATAAAGAAAAGAAAAATATTTATATTCCTTTTCTGAAAATTTTTGAAATTTTTTCTTTATTAGATTATAGATTCCATCCAATTTTTTTTAGAATACGTGGACGCATTATGATTTATTATAAGAAGTTAAAATAGAAATGGATAGTTTGAACCGGCTAATTTCATTTCATATGTCAAATTCTCGCTAAATCTGTTCGGTAGGACAGTCTAGTCCTTGATAATAAAATGTATTTGCGATTTGGCAAAGGCTTTTTTTATTTTGATTTTTTCAAAATTAAATAAAATGTTATTTATAGGACGGAAAAGGGAAAAGACGACATGCAAGTTCTATAAGATGGTGTTGAGACTAACAATGCTAGCTATCGAGTTGCGAATGCTCGTTTAGATGTGTAATTATATAAGGTTGGCCAAAATTAGGAATGATCAACAAATAGCAGAAACCATGTTGGCAACTTTGCTGGAGACAGAGAAATTGATTTCATAATATTGGTTTTTATAAACTATGAAATTTAACTTAAGTGTTAGGTTTATATAACGACATTCACGTATAAATCACTATAATTCTAAATGGATTGATAAATATTATGTGATGTATTCATTGTAAATGAATTGTCAAGTTAAAAAAAAAAAAAAAGACATAAGAAAGATATATGTTAAAGAGATATGTGTTTCTAATTAATTAAAAAAATATGTATTTATTGAATAGAAAAATTAAGTTAAAAAGAAGGAAACATCTTGACAATGAAGATAATTTTCCATAATTTAAAAAACAAAATTTAAAATTAATAAAGTGTTAAATGATTTATATTTATTTACTATAAATGCTTCATTCCAAATAATTAAATTTAATTTATCTTCAATAATTTATATTTATTATCTAAAAATATTTCACTATGTTAAAATTCACATTGCAATTTCAATAAAGTAAGTATGCTTATTTTATTATCATCAGTTACACTATTTTTGATTTAATTAAAAAATTATTAATTATATAAATTAACCAGTCAAGAAATTAATTATAAATTTAATTTTATTGGAAAATATTTTTTTATTATATTTATATTTTGCTAAAAATAAATATTTTTATTTAACAGAATATAGAAATTTGTATATTTTTATATATATTTCTTTTGTTTGGTTAATTATACAAACCCATATATGGGCACATATCGAAGACGCTCTCTTTTAGAATTTGCGCTCTCTCTGTCTCTCTCTTTACGCTTCACATAAAATGTGCAACTCACAAAAGGCAAGTAACGGTAAAGGCTCTCAACGGTCACATAGAAATTCAAATTTGAACGTCTTCCGACCCAAGTACTACACAGTACAAGCGAAAACGCAAGAAGACCAAAGATTTGCTCTCTTTCCCCTTATTCCAACCCTAAACTAATTCTTGCTGCAAGAAAGTTCCTATTTTAACTGTTTCTAAACATTTTTCCCATTTCCCAAACGCTCCCCAAAGCCCTGATCTTTATGGAGAATAGCCAATTCACCAATTTCTACCAAGAACCAGAAACTCATTTCCCAACTTGCTCCGTTTCTAGGGTTTTTGAATGGGAGAAAGATGTAAAGCTGGACCCAGAAAGCAAAGATTCTTCAAGGGATGGAGATTGGGATTCTTTGGTTGATTCTATGGTTTGTGACTCCAACTCAAGACTAATCCCGTCTGGGTTTTGTAGATCCAATTGCACAGGTTAATACTTTCGGTTCTATATCATGCTACTTATGCTGCAAGTTTTGCCTTTTCTGATTGACGAGGAAATTATAGCTGAGGAAAGAAATTAGACACTCAAAAATCTTATGTTATCTACTTTTTGATTAGTTAAATACGTCAATAGTATATGAATAGCCGTTCTATTTTTGGATTTTAATGTGAAATTTAGGGTAACAGCTTACCAATTATGTGTAAGATTCTGTTAATTTTGGTGTTTTAGTATTCTTTTCCCGAAATACAATGGTTGCTAAAATCATTAAGTGATTTCTTGAACCAGATGATATTGTGATGTTTGTAAATGCTGGAGGCGAAGTGAATGAAGCTGATTCAACTGTAAAATTTATTGGTGACACCAATTTTGAAGGAGGAAATGTTTTAAGAACCAACGAGCTTATAAATGAGGCTGGAGATTACCCACTCATTTATCAATCTGCGAGATTGGGTAACTTTTGCTATCGGTTCGACAACCTTCCTTCTGGAGGCTATTTTGTTGATCTTCATTTTGCAGAGATTATAAACACAAATGGGCCTAAAGGGATGAGAGTGTTTAATGTATTCATACAGGAAGACAAGGCAAGTTAATTAAGCAAAAGACAGTTTATAGGTTGCTTTTTTTTTTTTTTTTTTTTTTTTTTTTTTTTTTTTTTTTTTGGGGTCTTGCTTTATTTGGGGGGGGGGGGGGTTATATATGAAATATATGCTTAAAGATTTTCGTTATTTTGGGGAACTTGGCAGGTCTTGTCAGAATTTGATATCTTTTCTGTTGTTGGAGCCAATAAGCCATTGCAGTTAGTTGACTCAAGGGTCTCAGTGAAGGAGGACGGAATATTAGTGATAAGATTTGAACAAATTATTGGAAGCCCAGTTGTATGCGGAATTTGCATAAGGAAAGCACCAAAATTTTCAGGTAATATAGTTAGTCTTATGTGTTTATGTTCATCCATTAGGGACCAAGAATGTTAGAGCAGATTAAAGAAAATTTTTAATTTTTCTTGCTTGTGAATGATTGCAGTTCCTCAAAAGTCACAAGAATATCTAAAATGCAACAACTGCGCTGCTGAAATAGAAGTTTCTTCAGATCAGGTTAGATGCATGTCATATGAAAAGATTTCAGCTTTGAAGCATTTGACCTGTTGCTTATTTGACCTTGCATTTCTCGAGTTGCAGAAGAAACTCATGCGAACAAAAGCTACAGAGAAATATGAAAAGAAAATACAAGAACTCATTAATGAGTGTGAGCGTAAGACAAATGAATGCCACGAGGCTTGGATGTCATTGACTGCTGCAAATGAACAGCTGGAGAATGTCAGAATGGAACTTGATAACAAGACCTTTCAGACACGCTCTCTAGGTAATTCTGCTGATCGTAAAACTTTAACTTGCCAGTTTATTTTCTTGGATTTTTTTTTTTTTTTTTTTTGCGATTTTTTTTCTTGGATTTTTTTTTTTTTTTTTTGCTTAATATAATTTATTGTATTGGTTGTGAACACACTTTGACTTCAAATAATCTGATGTGTACGTTCTAAATTTTAACAGTATCTAATGGGAGAGAACTCAGAACTCTCGAGTGATATTATCCTGATTCCTAAGCCACTTACTGAACCTTAACAGCACTAGCTAGAAAATGTGTATCATACTTGGACTAGATGAACGTTACTAATATTGATCATTTGTTTAATTGTTTAAGTCAGCCTCTTACTAGGATGACTTCCTGGGTTATCCTGAAGATAAACTAAAGTTTTTTGTTACATTTTAATCTCTTTTTATCAATTTCCCCTCTGGCAGATCAAACTGTGGGGAAACAATCTGAAAATCTGAGGAATATCACCAGCATGTATGAACGTGATAAAAAATACTGGGCAGGAGCGGTCAAGAATTTACAAGAAAGAATTAAGGTAAGTAATGACCTCTCTTTTATAAATGACGAGTCAAAATTTATCTTTATGTCCATTCTTTGTCTTTATTACTTGGGTTTTGATCATATATTTATTTTATGTCAGATAATGAAAGAAGAGCATGCTCAGCTTTCTCGCGAGGCACATGAATGTACTGATTCAATACCTGAGTTGAATAAAATGGTCACGGGAGTTCAGGCACTGGGTAAGTTTGAACCACGCCAATCATAGTTAATTGGTTGCACTGGTTTGTACTATCCTTTTGCATGGACTCATAGAATCACTCTGCAGTTGCACAGTGTGAGGATCTCAAGGCAAAGTATAGTGAAGAGCAAGCAAAGAGAAAGGAGCTGTACAACCAAATTCAGGAGGCTAAAGGCATGCCTTTTCTTCTTTATCTTTCCTAAGTGGTTCTAGACTTCATTATACGGGGAATTGACTTGAAAGGAACTATTCTTTCTGTCAAATATCAGGAAATATTAGGGTATTCTGCCGGTGTCGCCCATTAAGTGAGAAGGAGATATCAACTGGACATGCAACAGTTGTTGACTTTGATGCAGCAAAGGATGGAGATCTGGGGATTCTAACAGGTGGCTCCTCCAGAAAGACTTTTAAATTTGATCGGGTTTACACGCCAAGGGATAATCAAGGTATTCATGGAGCATTTACATTTGGTTGCTGCACTGTTAGCATCTACCATGTGAATATTGAACCTGTCTTTATTTCTATAGTTGATGTGTTTGCGGATGCTTCGCCAATGGTGATCTCAGTGCTAGATGGGTACAACGTTTGTATTTTCGCATATGGTCAAACGGGGACAGGAAAGACATTTACAATGGAGGGCACTCAGCAAAACAGGGGGGTCAATTATAGGACTCTTGAGCAATTATTTAAAATTGCGAAGGAAAGGAGTGAAACTTTTACATATAGTTTATCTGTTAGTGTGCTTGAAGTCTATAATGAGCAAATCAGGGACTTGTTGGCTACAACTCCAACATCAAAGAAGTAAGTACAGTTACTTCTGTACAGTAACAACTCATTGCTGAACTTAACACCATAAAGTCAGTGGCTGAAAGGTCACTGTGCTGGGAAAAATTGCATGAAAAGACAAAGAAAACTGAATTCTTCCTTTTTTTTTTTTTTTTTTTTCTGGAATTCTTCCTTTTTTTTTTTTTTTTTTGCATTGTTTTTTTTTTTTTTTTTTTTGCATTGCAAGGTTGGAGATAAAACAATCTTCTGAAGGGTCTCATCATGTTCCAGGGATAGTAGAAGCTAAAGTTGATAACTTAAGGGAAGTCTGGGATGTGCTGCAGGTTGGAAGCAATGCTAGAGCTGTAGGATCCAATAATGTCAATGAGCATAGCAGCCGGTCTCACTGGTATCAAGCTCTGTTATTTTCCTTCCCTTTTCTTGATCATGAGAAGCTTCTTTCTCGTTAATGATTTACCACATAACACCTTGACTTTTCGCATTTGAATCAGTATGCTATGTGTAATGGTAAAAGCAAAGAACTTGATGAATGGTGAATGCACCAAAAGCAAGCTTTGGCTTGTGGACCTGGCAGGCAGTGAGAGGCTGGCAAAAACTGATGCGCAAGGGGATCGACTAAAGGAAGCTCAGAATATCAACAGATCACTTTCTGCCCTTGGAGATGTTATATATGCTTTAGCAACTAAAAGTAGTCATATTCCATACAGGTTAACACTTATGGATTCACCTAGTGTTTATCCTTCCACCTCAATAATACTAATTTCTAATAATTTCTGCTATTTGGTTTCAGGAACTCTAAGCTGACACATTTACTTCAAGATTCATTAGGTGAATAACTCATGTTTTCAGCGTCCATAAATTTGGAGTCTAAGTTTTTGGCTTTGTATCCAAATCGATGTGGATTGCAAATTATTAAGCCTATACCATCTGATAAATTCATACTTGTGTTACAGGGGGTGACTCCAAAACTTTGATGTTTGTGCAAATTAGCCCTTCAGAGCAGGACTTGAGTGAGACTTTGAGTTCATTAAACTTTGCTACTAGAGTTCGAGGCGTTGAATTGGGGCCTGTGAGGAAGCAAATCGATACAACAGAGCTTCAGAAGATAAAAGTGATGGTGGGTTTGATATGATTGGTGCAACTTTTCAGTCTTCTTTTTTTTTTTTTTTTTTTTTTTTTAGCTTCAGAAGATAAAAAGTGAAATGGATGGGTCTAATGATCAGAATGACTCTGGTGCAACTTTTCAGTTCGGTTCTTTTTTTTTTTGTATTTTGATTTGTATTTTTATTTTTTGCTGTGCAATTTACTAAATATCTAAGTACCTAAATCTGTCTTTTTATGACTTAGCCTCAATATCTAGCCTCTCATCATTAGATTCCCCTGTTCTCCGTGTTCTTCTTGTATTTCTCTGTATTCATTGAGTCCTTTGAAGCTTGATAAAGCCAAGGTCTCTATAGTAGAGTCTTCATAAGGCCAAATCAATAAGAGTCGAGATCAAAAGCTGAGATGGAAAATTGAAGCTATTGAACAGAAACTTTGTGGCATAATCCTGGGGTGACGAACTTAAGGCACAGAGGCATAAGACAATACTCCCTACAATAGCAACTTTCAGGCGAGGAGAGTATCAAATCGTAATAAGAATCTTCTCGGAACGGGGCAACCCTTGATATGTCATGAAGTCTACCTATTCAGTCAATAGTTCCAAGTCATGAGATATACGTCTCAAAGTCTCACATTATCTCTCTCTAGGACATCAGTGAGTTTAAAGGGGAGGCAAAGGGATAATTTTGCAATTGCTGGTTCATGCCTTAAAAAGGTTGTTTTTTTTTTTTTTTTTTTTTTTTTTGCAATAAATATAGTTAAATTTCTTATGATTGAAATATCTGATTTATAGATTGTTGTTTTTCTTTTTGTCCTTTGAAGCTTGATAAAGCAAGGCAGGAATCTAAATCAAAAGATGAATCACTAAGAAAACTAGAAGAAAACTTGCAAATCCTGGAGAACAAGGCAAGAGGCAAAGACAATATTTACAAAAACCAGCAAGAGAAAATTAAAGAACTCGAAGGCCAACTTGAATTGAAGTCTACCTTGCATAGCCAGTCAGAGAAGCAAGTCTCACAACTTTCAGATAGATTAAAGGGGAGGGAAGATATTTGCAATGCTCTTCAGCAAAAGGTTGCTTTTGACTTGGTTTACTACTAATATAGTTTTGTTTGTACTTTATTTTCCTGGGATAACCTGAACTGACTGTCCGGTGAAGGTCAAGGAACTAGAGAACAAGCTTAGAGAGCGACAGCAGTCAGATTCTGCAGCTTTTCAACAGAAGGTTGGTCTCTCAAATACTGATAGCTTTGCTTTTTCCTCTATTTAATAAGCGGCCTCTATTTTGAAAAGAACACTGAAAAATTTTACTACATTTTCACTTCAAACAGGCTAAGGAACTTGAGAACAAGCTGAAAGAGCAAGTGCAAGAGTCTGATTTACATTCCCTCATGCTGCAAAATAAGGTCTGCAACTGATTTTCTTTTTTTTCTTTTTCAGTAGGATTTTCATTACGTTTTTCATCTACTTGTCTTTCCTCTTTTAGGTTAAGGAGCTTGAGAGAAAATTGACAGAGCAGGAAGAGAACTCAGAGGTGTTGTTACTTCAGCAAAAGGTCAAAATTCTTGTTCTCAGGATCATTTCATAATTTCTGTTGCATGTTTATTATTTCAGCTAGAATTTAAGTTTCTAATTATTATTAATCATTGGCCATCCAGATTAAGGAGCTAGAAGAGAAGCTGAGAGAGCAAGATAAGCAAATACAATACATGCAAGCTCATGATTTTCCTAGCACTATAAAGGCCACACCCCATGAAGCTAAAATCTGTGCAAGAGATGATGAATTCCTGAGTGACATTGAATCTCATATCCTAAGGAGTTCAAATTCAATTAACCGGCCTTTAAGTCATGGGTCTACATTGCCAAGAGGAAATGCCAATGATAACCTTTATGAAATAAGAAAGAAAAGACAATCCAGAAGTGCAGAAATAGAGAATAATATGATACATGACAACAGGGGCAGAAAATCTGATCCTCCCAAAATTGCAAGGGTTATGAGACCAACAGCAAAGCCAATCACAGCTGCTGCTCAAGGGCCTTTGACTCACAAGAGAGTTGTCAGAGATCAGCAGGGACAGGGAATTAGAGAGAGGGAGGCTAAGAAAAAGATTTGGTCTAGATAGTATTGCAGCATTAATCATCAATCAACACTGGTCTGTTGTTTTGTTCTTTCTTTTTTTTTTTTTTTTTTTTTTTTTCATGTATTCTTTCTTTTTTTTTTTTTTTTTTCTCAATGTATTTTATCCTCTAAAATATAGTTCTTTGTTTTCGTAATGTGTATGGAAACTACATTTTAAAGTTAATAGAAATGAAACTATAACTTTTTTTCTTTTTTTTAAATTGTAAACTTAATGAAATCAGTTAATAAGAATAGGTTGTCCATGGTCATAACAATGGAAGAGGCCTTTTGTATCAATTAAAATTAACAAATTTAAGAAGTCTTCCAACATTTTCTGATACATATGATCTTGTAACAGGCAAGTGCAAGCTTACTCATGCCAACATTTAAGGATTCATAAGCTATATAGAAATTAAGATTTGTCTAAATCAAGTTGTGGGTCATCTAGAATTGGAAACCTAATTGGATCAAGGTCAAGTGGGCTCTGACAAGAGTTAGCATTTAGGCCTTGTGAGATGATTTTTTTTTTTTCTTTTTTTCATACAAAGCGAAGGAAAAATACACTGCACAGTAACATGATAAGAAATCCCACAAACATCAGGAAACAATCAGGTAGTTGAAAATTCACCTCGTGGGGGAACTTCACAAACTATTTATCTAAACCACCAGAGTTTTATTATGTTTTTTTGGGTTCTTTTATGTTTTGTGAGATTAAAAAGCAAAAAAGCAATACATGTGAAAAATATTTCGTGACGAATGGATTGATATTATTAATTATTACTTCCGGACAGCATAGACTAGAAATTTCCAAAAAGTTGGTGAAATATGATAAGTATCACTTCTAATATTTGGCTTTTGTGTACGGAAGAAATGCTTCGAGTCAAACATGCTGCTTACTGTTAATGGAAAAGGGATTACCCTAATCTTGCATAATTAGTAGGAAATTGTCAAGCTTGTCATCTCAAAATATTCCCTGGGACAGTCATTAGTGCTTAATGACTACTAAATATTGTTTTATTAGGCGACCGTCCTCATTTCACCCTAATTCGGTCTATAGAAAATGTCAAAAGGCTGTTCGATCTTTATGCATAGGGAAAATTCTCGTTGGGATCGCTTCTCCTTATAACATAACATTAACATTAACATTTAAAAAAAAATACATGATTTTCGGCCCTTTGTATGTAATAACTACCTCCACATAGGCCTAGGTTCATGTCAGGCCCATTGGGCCAGGGTTTTAAAATAATGTGAGCCGGGTTCTGAACTGGTCCTTTTAAGTCGGTTCTGGTTAGGCCGGTTAGGACCAACATTCTTTTTTACTTTACGACCGCTTGGATTTGACTGGCATTTGATAAGTTCAGACCCATTTTTAATCCAAACTAGCTGAAAATTTCCTTTTTTTTTTTTTTTTTTTTTTTTTTTTTTTTTTTTTTTTTTTTTTTTTTTTTTTTTTTTTTTTTTTTTTTTTTTTCTGAGCTTGGTTCAAGTGGGGAGTCAAAGACAAGGTTTCAAGACGGTCCAAGTTAAACCAGTGTTGGATCCGGTTTGGACCCAACTCGTGAAAAACCGCTGTATATCCACAAGTGGACCAAGGCTAATAACAAATTAATCTTTGCTTATATATGTTTGTTTTTTTTTTTTTTTTCATTCTCTTCATTTCATGCATTTGAAAATAACATTTAATTAAAATGTTTTCTTTTAGAAGCTAACTAAGAGACTATGAGTATTTAAATTCCAATTCGCTAAGAAATTAAGAATTCAAACCAATAATGAATTCTACAATCAAATCATTTGACCAATGGTTTAGTATAATGAATTTATTTATAAATTTTTGTTTTTTATATTTAACGAATCCTATCGAAGTTCATAGAGTTTATAAATGAATTCTAAACTTAATAAATTAAATACAAATTAAATCCAAAAATTAATACAAACATGAGAATTTATTTAGAAATTAAATTTTGAAATAAAATATAATAAGATGAATTAATTTTGCACCTAACATTCTATAAAAGTAACATATTTCCACAACTTAGAAACATAATTCTTTTACTTCCATAGAAGTTAAATGATCCCAATTGCTAAGAAAAAAGATAAAAACAAATTAGAATCGTAAGGTTAAATTAATATTTATGGAAAAAATAAAGGAATTATCATAACAATAGGATATATAACCAAAAACAAAAGAAAGGAATTATCTTTTTCCCAAAAAAGAAAGAGATCTTTTCATTTTCTAAAATAGGTTAAAAAAAAAGCAAATAAAAATAAAATTTAAGAAGAAAAGAAAAGAGCAGTAAAATCCAAAAAGAAGAAATGATGAGAAGGGTTGGTGGAAGGTGTGGGAGAGGTGTTTTGGTTTTTTGAATCGAAACACTTACTATAAGAATCCAAAAACGATGACAAGAAAGAAAAGCATTTTTCTCGTTTTAGGGTTTTATAATTTACTCTCTTCCATTTTTGTACACGTCACCATTAACCACTACACTACAAAAATCCCTTCTGTTTTCTGAAACAGAGATGAGATGCGTTTCGTTCCATTCCATTTCATTATGTGATGATGATGACATGTCTGATTAGTTATGATATACATTTATATTGTTTGTATTTTCCTCAGGCTTTTAGAAATACCAAATTTGTTCACACCTCCATAATTGATTGAGTGAAAGAAATCTGAAAATCCCCATTCTCCTATATGTATATATATCCTTTTTTCTTTTATTGCCAAATTAATATCAGCCGTCTGATGATGAACTAAGCAATCATCATGTTTGATTTTTGTGATGATGTATGTGAGAATGGGTCAGTCCTGTCCAATGACTATCTCTTTTTTAATCCATTCGATTCCCTATAATCTTTTGTTTTTTTATTTCAGAATTTCCTAAAATAGAAATGCCTCTCAAAATTCCAGTCACTCATAACTATGAAACATATATTCAATCTACTAACTTTCTTTTTATATAAAAAAACATATTGAAGATCAGATAAACTAAAATATCACTGTGAGCATTTGAACTTGTAAGAATACTAACCAGTTTGCATTCGATTATAAGTTATCAGCCTATTAATTGATTTAACGTTTTTTAAAATTTTAAAAATAACTTTTCCAAATCAAGGACAACAGAATTCAATCCAATTCGAAAGTTTGCAAGTTTTTAATTGAATTAGGAATAGAGTTAATAAACATATCAAATTAAAAAAAAAAAAAACCTAGACCATTCAATTGGTTGACTTTGCATAAAATTTGAGATTGTTCAAGCATAAAATAAGAATATCCCCAAATCTTGATTTTGTGGCTATATATTAGAGTGGAAGACACTATCCAAGTAGTTGCAAAGGTGGGGCCAGAGATTTGGGTAATAGGTAGGGCAGGTATAGGTTTATTGAGGATGTGAATTGCAATATATAGATTCTTCTTCTCAATAGGTCATGAGCTTCTTGCAGCTTATAAGTTGTAAAAAAAGACAGTTTATAATACAATGCACAAGTTAGCAGCTTCCAAACAAAAGTTTTTTCCTAGTGGAGTTGTCCCTTCACGTTAATCACGCAACTTCATGTCTTCTTCAGTTTCTTACAAAACCTGCCAATCTCTCTCTCTCTTTCTCTCCCCCCCCCCCTCTTCTTTTTCTCTCCCCCCCCCCCCATTCCTTTGGGTAAAATTATTAAATATACGACGATCGAGGTCTGTCTTATATAATGCAGAAATTGAATAAGCCGATGTTTTGAGAAGCCTCTTTTCTTACATAAAAGGACCCCCCCCCCCCTTCTTTGGGTAAAATTATTAAATATAGACGATCGAGGGTTGGTCTTATAATCTAGAAATTGAATAACAGTTTTTGAAAGTCTCTTTTCTTTACATAAAATGGACAAGAAATTAATTGCGAGATGAAAATGGGATAAAGAAATCGAAAGAGATATATAAATTATTGAGTTATACTTATAAATGATTGTCTAACTTTTAAATAAGAATTTGTTCGGTAAAACTAACTGTTTTGATAGCTATTAGCTGTTTGAACAGTATTTCATAAAATATTAAAAGATAAACGTTATATGAGTTAACTTTTTATAAAATGCTACATTCATCTCTAAAAGTTAATTCAAACTCTATGTTAATGAACACTATAAAAAATAATAATTAAAGCTATTTAAAAAATTATTTACAAATACGGTCTAATTACATATTTCTTTTTGGTTTCAAATGTTGTGGCTTTATGTGTTTAAAAGAAAGAGAGAGATTAGGTGGGAAAAAACAACTACAAAATGTTAAAAGATGTGGGGTTGTGGCTTGTGGGGGCTAACCTTTTTTGTAGGAAGTTGGTACCTATAGAATTAGAAATGCCTTTCTGTTAACATATGGAATGTTGAGCTAAAGGTCTAAATAGCATATGTATGTAGGTAGTGGATCAAAGGCAAAAAGGAGAAAAAGAAAAAGGAAATACTCTAGGTCATGAAAGAAATTAACATTTCTATACCAGCATAGATAATTAGCCATTTGTTGTGATATTAACTAGTAAAAGAAAACGATAAAAGGGTAAATAGATCGTTTTTATTCTAAATTTTAACTCTGATTTTTTTGTCTGATCGAAAATTTTAATAATTTACGATATTATATTATAAAGAATTTGTATTTATGTTAATGTTTTAAGAATAATAAAAGTAAAATTTAGTCAATTAAATTATGGAGAGGAGCTTTGTCATCCACATTGCAAGTGTATGCATATAGACAAATGATTGAAAACAAGATTGGCATGCATGAGATAAATATGATTAAGCCACATTAATTAACGTGTAAAGGAGTGAAGAATGAGAAGCTAACAATCTGTTGTTAGTATTATTATATATTATTCAAAGATAGTGGGGCCATTTTTCTTTTACACATACTAGTGAAAGCAGGGAATAAAGAAAGCAAAGGCAATCAAAAGAGTAAAAGAAAAGAAAAAAAAGCTTTTTCTTTCTCTCAATAGTCACAACCCAGAATCAAAATGGAATGCTCAGTAACAAGTAGCAATTAACAAAGACACAGAGAGAGAGAGGCTCACTCCCCAAGACCCCAAAAAGCTAAACAAAACATTTTTGATATACAAAAGAACGAACCCTAAGCTTTTAGATGCTCTCTCTCTCTCTCTCTCTCTCTCTTATACATTCAAATGTTGACAGTCTTTCATTCAATACACTTTCAAACCACCACTTTTTCAGACACCACCAAATCACCCCACACTGCAACTAATTATTACTAAGAGCCTTATGCACTCAGAGATAGAGATATTGATAGAGAGAGAGAGAGTGTGTATGTATTAGGGCTAAACTGTGCAGGGCTAGTTAAGGGTTACCCAGCTAGCTACTGATAATATTACAGATTGACATATATTGTCTGTTTGTTCAGTAGGTAAGGAGCCTGAGACTGAGTTCTATGAGAAAGAAAGACATAAAACAAAAAAAAACTTATACACACATTGACAGTGAGAGTTCTGGACAATGACTGTACATAAAACAAATCAAGGATATGCCATTAAGTTTCATTTAATAACAGTCCAAAAATCCCATCACAGATCCCAAAGTGATTCTGAAGATTGATGAGAGGATCAAACCCTTCAAGAATGCATTTCACTAGTAGTCCAGTGGTCGACCTTCTGCCTCATCAGTTTCGATATTCTTGATAACTCTCTTCTCTTTCAGAAATTTTTATGTGTAAAAAAAAAAAAAAGAAAAATCCTTGTGAAGAACAAAAGCTATCTCTATTACCATATCATCCAAATTTGAGTTTAGATATATTGCATGTATAGAGACAAAACGAATAATATCCTCTTCACTTCTTTCATTTTCATCTAAACAAGATATATATATAGCCTTTTTTTCCTACCATAAACTGCAATATATATATATGTGTGTGTATAGTCCTGCATCTTTATCGTAATATGTAAAAGATGCAATAGCAACAACAACTTATAGAAACATAAAGAACTAAACACTAGTTAATTGTTCAACGTCTTACTAAAAGAAAATACAAAAGCAAAAAAATACTCTCTTGTTCCTTTTTTTTTTTTTTTCCCTTTCCCCAACTTTTACAAGTTGATAATCTGCATCCAACAAAAGCAATTAACAAGAACAAACATACACCTAAAATTGGTTTAGATAATATTTTCATTTCTCTATAGTTTTTCCCCCTTTCTGTTAAAGGGTGTACCTTATGAGTCATGCTGATATGCTTCTTGATGATCATCTAGGGCAAACCATTATATTGATGCAAATCACTCCATCCTTGAACTCCATTCCAGTTGCTTGCTACACCTGCGTTTTGATCATTTCCATTGCTGTTACTGTTAGCTGGTGTAGTTGGATTGACTTGGCCATAAGAATTCCCAAAGAACCATTCGGTGGTTGTATCACCTAATCTTCTTGAATTTCCAGCAACATTTACTTCTGGTTTTGAAATTTCAAGATTTTGAAACAAAATGGGTTGAGGCTTTTGCACTTGGTTTTCAATAGGAACCGAAGAAACACTATTATTATCTTTCTGGTCTTCTCCTCCAAAAAGCATAGCCAATCGTTGTTGCTGCAATTTCCAGTGCAAATCTTGATTTATAGAACTCAAAGACTCAATTGATGATGCAAGGTTAGTATGAACATTCATCGAACCGCCATTTCCGCCACCAACACCGCCACCGCCCATTTCTTGAATTGCACCGGTAAAGCCACTTGAAATCGGATAGTTAAGCCCCATCAAAGTACCAGAAGAGCTTCCAGATGGGTCCAGACTGAAACAAGGACTAGTAACACTACCAGCAGTTGCAGAACTAGCAGAAATATCACCAAAAGGAGAGAATTGATTGTATAAACCACTAGGTGAAGGGTTTAATCTAGGGAAAGATAACCCACCAAGATTAAAATCCATGGCTGGAGAAAGTCCATGAAAGAACTTAAATCCACCGATCTCCGATGACCCACTAGAGTCTTTTGAATCACATGATAATCTTGAAGATGACTTCATTTTCTTGTTTTTCCGGCAACCACCGCCTATAGGAACGTTGCGTAAAGCTCCTCCTTTAGTCCAGTATCTTCTACAAGTCTTGCAAAAATGTCTAGGTTGTGTTAGACTGTAATTATTATAGTAACAGAATTTTGTGTTTGGTGAGTCACATCTTGGACACTTCAAAGCTTGCTCTTGCGGTCTTGATGCTGCTGTTTTCCGGTTACCGGAGTTTTGATTTTCTTCTTTGTTAGCTTGCTTTCCTTGAAGACTGTTAGGGGACATCATGGAGCGATGAAAGAAAGAAAGAAAGTGTGGAACGGTTATGGGGTGGTTCAGTTTCTTTTTGCAGAGGCAAAGATAGAAAATTGAATGGTTTCATGCATGGATTGGAGAGGATGGTGATGGGGTCTTGTGATATTCATCAAGAGAGAGAGGGGGTATTTTGGGGAAGAAATGGAAAAATTATGTATTTATTTATGTATATAAGAAAAACTGGGTTTGAAAGAGATTAGATCTGGTAGAATAAATAAAGAGAGCTGATCTCATCTCACTTATATGTATATATATACATGTAGACAACTACACAAATTGAAACGAATAGGAATTGATGTGCCACAAGGTGAACACATGAAATCCGAGGCTTGAAAGGGAAATGAGGAATTTACTGTTTTTTTTTTTTATTTTATTAAATTCAATTCCACGGTTTCTGTATTTATAGACAAAATAATACATGTATCTATATCCGGATAAAACACTTAAATCTTTCTATATTTAAGAAATAAATATGACATTTTTAATTTATACTTTCGTCTCACTGTTAAATCCTTCTATCTAAAAATGAGCTATTTACCGTTAGTTATATACATATTTTTTGAACGGAAATAGCTTACTTTTGGTCAAAGAGATTTGATAATGGTATAAAATATAAATTAAGTACGTCATAGTTATTTCTCAAATGTAAATAGATTTAAGTGTTTAATATAAGTTTAATCTCTTTTCAGATTTGTAAGTTATTTTCTCTGCAAATGTTTTGTTTTACGTATAATTTTTTTGAAGGTTTTATAAACCCTTCACCCTTATTTGGTGAGATATAAAATTATTTAATTAATTGGACAATGATTAAAATTAAAATTCATTTGTAAGGTAGATTTTAGGATGTCCTAATAAAGGTTTCAAAATATTTCACCGTAGAAATTTCTTTTAAGACCCACCGTTGATTTCGTGGTATAATGATTTTTATATCTCTATTACTAAAGCTAGATAAATTTAATAAGTAAAATTGATTTGAATAGAAAGAATTCAAATCTTTTAAGTAAGAGGCTGAATTTTCGATCATTGTGCATGCGAAAAATCTCTATTCATAAAAGTGAACCTAACATAAGCGAAACTCAATTAGACTTTTGTTTTTTTATATCATTGTGCTTATAATTTCTAGAGCTTAGCTCTCCCTCGTTGCCAAAAAAGTTTAGCTAACATGGCATTAAACCATTCCGGTTTCGATATCTGGCTAATTTAAGTCAATCACATAATATTTTATGGTGCTGTTGGAATGGAAGATTTGGGAGGTTAAAAATCTTTTCATATAGAATACAGTTTTCAAAAATATAAAAAGATTCATATATTTTTTTATCGTGTAACTTAGAGAATTATTTAAATATATTTTTATTTTTCACGAATAAAAAATTAAAAAACAATAACAATTTAAAAATAGTTGAAATTGTTTTTTTTTTTTTTTGAGAAATGAGGAGGTGTTGCTTTACTTTGTTGTTGTATAAACCTCTTTTGAAATTATATTCTTACTTTTACAAAACTTACAGTGACTTATTACTGTCCCGATCTCCTAAAATACTAAAAATATTATCTGTAATAGATTGCTACAATTGTCTCTTTTCTACCTGTTTGTCTGTAGAATCAATTAAAAGTGAGAGAAAATTACTGTTTTAAAGGGAAAAAAAAAAGTGAAAGAAGAGAGAAAAACAAAAACAATTGTTAAAAATAAAAAATAATTTGGTATCTAACGCGTCATCCATATCAATTTTTCAATGAGATTTTATGAAGAACATTCTTCTAAAAGTGTTTATACTGTTACATAGATTGGTAATGAGTGATGCCAAAAATTAGACAAACTTAACATAAACACACAATCATTAAACTGAAGACCTTAAAAGAAAAAGAGATCACAAAACAAGTTATAAAGAAGTCAAATGGTTGTTTATACAGAAGCAGCAGAAGCTAGCGATGAACTATCTAAATCTAATATGATTAGTTAAAGTGTTGAAATGGTTGGATGTGATGTGATAGAATATTGAAAGAGCAGCAGCCATGGCAGAATTAGTAGGCTGCACAGAGCATTAGGGCTGAATCAGTAAGGTTCTGCAAGTCATGGCAGTGCTTGTCTATTCCTTCCCATGTAATGTCTCTTTTAAATACAAAGCTCACATGTTTCAAAGGTAACTTCATCTTTCATTATCTCTGTATGATAGCTACTTGGCTAGCTATCCAGTACTATATATATATATATATATAGTATCTAACAATTATCCATATTAACTGAATGTTTTTATTATATTATAGCCCTGACTTTTACATCATTTAACTGATCGAAGGAGATTTTTTTTTTTTTTTTTTTTTAAATTCATTATCTTGTTGATAGCTACTTGGCTATCCTTCATACTATATATAATACTAAGTATCCTAACGTTATCTCGATATTTAACTTGAAATGTTATTAATATTATAGCCCTGACTTTTACATATGTTAAGCTGATCGATGAAGGAGATTTTTTTTTTTTTTTTTTTTTAAATTGAAAAGTGATTGGTTCTTTTGAATTTTGAATGTACTAACCCAATGAATAGTAAATACAAAAATCTTATCGTTACAAAGTGATTTTAGTATAACACTTGATTTTGTCAGCTATTGATCTTTTTTTTTTTAAAAGCATTTAAATAAAATCATTTTTTTTTTTTTTTTTTTTTTTAAATTGAAAAGTGATTGGTTCTTTTTGAATTTTGATGTACAACCCAATGATATAAAATACAAAAATTTGACTGTTACAAAGTGATTTTATATAACAATGATTTTGTCAGCTATTGATCTTTTTAAAACATTTATAATAAAATCATTCTTAAAAAAAATGATCTTATAACAACGTCTTGCCAAAATTACGGTGGAAGACGTAAAAGACTCGAGACTAACCAAACTATATTCTACTAACTTCTTAATATAAATTTCCAACGAATAAAATACTCAATTTTATATATTTTCTCAGTTCTTTTTGTAAGTATCACTTTAAAAATTTTTCTTTTCCGCCCCTTAATTGTCATTTGAGAAAATTAGTGAAGTAGTAATGATTTTTTTCTTCAATTTTATTCTGAAAAAGTTAATTAGCATCTCCATTGCATAAGAAATAATTATTTAGAAAATCTATAAAACGATAACTTAGTTAATTATAATTCTCTTTTCCCCTAGATTAGTTAATCATATCATTTTCTTAGTTCTTAAACAATTACTTACTTTCTAATGACGCTCAAAAAGATAAAGGAAATCTACATGAATTCCAATAATAATAATAATAAAATTTTATTGTTTTCAATAATAATTACCAAAGAGAAATTGGTTACTTAATCTCATTGTATATGACCATCCATATAGGAAACTAATGAATTATTATTATTATTATTTACTATTTAGGACTTTTTGGCTTTTTTGTTTCCATTGAATGTCAACGATACCTTCATTTGTTATCCTATTATCTTTATTAAATTTACATAGTGTATATAATCAAAATATAGTCTTTTGGTTGCTTTTTTTTCTTAATATAATCTTTAATTTTGAATTAAAGAAAAAGCATAGACTGCTAATATCAAAATAATTTCAGTAAAAACAAAATATATATTGCTTAGGTACACAATCTAATAGTAACAATTTAAAGAGATAGACTGTATAAATCGTACAACCACTTGCATAGAGACAAAATTAACTAGTCCTAGACCAGATGATATGGTGTATACCTTTACTCAGGGTTGCCTGTCCTTGTAAAGTGGGACCTAATATACAGGAACTGTGTCTTGTACTTGTGTGTATATGTATGTACAACAATTTTAACTTTGCCCTATGAAATTAGGGCAGCACCTATGAATTATGACCACGTATACATACATAATACAAAGGTAATTAACTATTTTAATCCTTCAAATTTAATCATAATTATAACTTATTCCTGTTAGTCATTGTATTTACAAAGTGTCATTTTAGAGATTAAGTAACCTATAATATATAGCTATTAAAATTTTTAGTTAAAAATTTTTGAAATAATATATTTTAATTGGCCTCCAAAATTATTTTTTTCACCTTTCTAATTACTTGAGGTGGTCTGCCCTGTTTGATTCTTCCCATCTAATGTAGTGATACTATTTGGTCTCTTATATATAGTATTGAGTTATATATTATTTAGTTCATCACTTAAAAGTGAATTGTTTTAGGTTGATGGATAAATTATTTAATAGAGTTTTTTTTTTTTTTTTGAAAATAATAGAGTTAAATTTTTAAGGACAAATCAATGTTTTTACCAAATAAATCCTTCAGATTTAATATAGTGATACTAGAAAAATACTTGTTTACACCCAGCATATGAGTGGTCCAATATAACAAGCTAATCAAAAAATGATTTTTAAAAAAAATATTACTATTTTTTTCTTAATGTATGGTTAGAAATACTTTATTTCAACTAAAAGATTTTGTAATTAATTTGGTATATAAATGGGTCATACAACGAGTTTATGAAAGTCTTTTTGATGATATTACTTAGTCTCTCATTTGGTATTGAGTTACTGATTAGTCTCTCATTTAAATGTAAAAATAATATTGTTTTAGATAAATGATTAAATAGTTTAATAGAGTTAAATTTTAGAGATCAATCCAGAATTTAGTCTTTTTGGTTTTTAATCATTCTTGAATTCTTGTGCTACTCTAGAATAATTATAGAAATTATATTTACTATTTTCTTTGATCGAGCAGAGAGTATCAATACCCAAATTAACAACTAATTAGTTAAGGCTAATGAGTTCCCACTCTATCTGCGTGGACAAATAACAAAAAGGATGACTATACCACTTACATAAAAACCTGTATTCACCAGCAAAACTTCATTAGACAAAGCATCTGCAGTTGAATTAACCTCTTTTGTACACTCATTCCATCTTGCAGAAATCAGATTACTACATCTCCAACTATAAGAATAAGAATAAGAATAAGAGAGTCCAATCACTGGGTTGTTACGTACATCTGATGAAGACTTTGCAAAGGAAAGTGCTGATGATCATCAAAATTATTAAATGACAGTCGCGTGAAATTATCGAGTTTACATTTTAATTTAGGACAAAAACTTAAAATCTTTTAATTCAAAATATATCATTTAATAAACGGGTTTATCACAAAAACATTGTGATTTGAAGAACTATTTCATTCTAATTTTAAATAGTTTCCAAATGTAATGTGAGTACTCGTGGAAGTTAAAATTTTGCACTTAAACCGCCAGTTCAACTGCGTTTCAGTATAAAAGATTTTAGAAACAAATGTTACCAA